GCATCTAATATAAGCTACTTTTGGCCATTAATAATAAGAGTTAAGGCGCTATAGAAGAAGCTCTATAACCTAGATCTAGCTAGTATACCTTTACTAATAGTTATTTTCTATCTTATAGAAAGGTAACTTATTAGTATAAGCTACTATAGGTAGTAACTTAGTTAGATATAAACTAATTACTACGTAGATAGCGGCATATATATTATAGTAATAGCTAGCTAAACTATATAATAGTAGGGGCTTCTATATTATATAATTAATATAGATTAAAGTACACTAGTTAGTGCTTACTCCTAAGTTATTATACCTTAAGTAATACGTATCTATATATAACTACTAGTAGTGTAGTAGAAAATACCTATAGTAATATAGTAATATAATAAACTACTAGATATAGCTATATAAGGTAGGCCTAGGCGTAAGAAGAAATAGAAGGTATAAATATAATAGTAGAATTATATAAAGTATAATTAGACTACTTTCTAGAGTAATATACCCTAAATATAGTAGTACTTAAGTCTCTACTAAATACTAAATAATTACCTATAGAAGCTTACGCAGCTTTTTAGAGATATAAGATATATACTAGCTTAAAAGTAAATAGGGTTAAGTAGTAATAGAGAAACTAAAGTAGGTAGAGTATAGTTATAGATAATATACTAGGGTTCTTTAATACCTAGGGCTAGGTGTTAATACTACTATAGGTTAAATAAATATAAGCTACTTAGAATCTTAATTAATAGTAGTAATTTATATTATTTTACTATTTCTATGGTATAAATAAATTAGAGTACCCTATAATAGGGTACTTAAAAATATTTATTTTATAGTAATTTTTAATATGTGCTTATAAGAGGGCGGGGTTAAGCTAGTTCTTAAACTTAGCTATATTCTCTAATATTTACCTATTTAGTTAGACCTTTAAAGACTAGACCGCGATTATATCTAATAGTAGGCTAGATTAGATAGATTACCTTTATCTTAACTACTATTTTTATTATACTATTATCGTCTTCTTATACCTATTATTACTAATTATAAGAGGCTAAGAGCCTTCTTAAGTACTTAGTTATCTAAACCTTAGAAGCTTAATAGGGGTAACTAAGCTTATATTAAAGTATAAAACCTAAGCTAGAATATAGATAGAAACCTTATTAATTTATAAAAAGTTTTACTCTAGCTATTTTAGCTTACTAAGTATCTAGCCCCTTATAGGTATAGTATAACTTAGTTATAAATAAAGTCTATATCCCTAATTTTTTTAAGGGCTATATATTACCTTTTCTCTATTTAAGTAGAGATATTTATACTTTTATACTTTATTATAGTTTTACTTTTATTAGGGTTAGAGTATTTAGGTTAAGTAATATCTTTAAAGTTAAGAGGTTATTTATATATAGATTAAGACTTTATATATTAGTATTTCTAGTATAGATGTTACGGCTACTATATTATAATAAAATTATAGGACTTACGTTAATAATAGTAGTAACTAATTAGATTATATAGGAGAAGAATATAATTATAAGTTAGATACTAAGTATAATATAGGTATATAAGGAAGTCACGTAATTAGATCTATAGATCTATAGAATAGAGCTATAGAGCCTAGATCTATAGAATCTATAGGTAGAGCCTATAGAGCTATTATTAAATAGTAGTATATAGAGATAATAGATTACTACTAGGTAAGCCTTTATTATTAATCTATAATATAGTTCTCTATATCTAGTTTCCTTATAGAAGATTACTATTAAGTTCTTAGTAATATATTCTTATAGTAGTAATTAATTAGTATTTATACTATACGTAATCTATACTACCCTATACGCTACTTATCTCTTACTAGAACCCTAATAGGGCCATAGCTAGTAATAGAGTCCTAGAGGTCCTATTATAATAGACCTCTTACCTCTAGAAGTAAGTAATATCTATACTTATTAGCCCTTACTAGGTATTTTTAGTAGGCCTTCTATTCTTTACCCCTAGGGGTAGCTTTCTACCTTCTTTACCCCTAGGGATAGCTACTATTTTTATCCCTAGAAGTAACCTAATATTAAATCTAGAGAGGGTAGCTAGTCCTAAATAGGTTAGGGTTAGTTCTTAGGTAAGACTTACTAAGGGGAGGAAAAAGAAGTTCTTATTAATATAGAAGTATTTTATAAAGTGTAATAAGTTAATAAGGAGGCCTAAGTAAATCTAAATAATAGATTAAAACTTAGGTTAAATATAAGTATAAAGGTTTATCCTTATATTCCTATATAGGGATCTTACTTAGTTGCTTAGGAGCCCTAAATAACTAAGTAGGTTACGTAATAACTCTTAGCTACTTAGTTATTTAGGAACCCTAAGTAGCTAAGTAAGTTATATAACTACTATCTAAGTAACTTAGCGTATCTTTATCTTATTATAACCCTAGTTATTATATCTTCTACTTTTATAAGCGCCTAAACTTCCCTACTATTATCTAGTTTATAACACCTAATCCTACCTTAGTAGTATGGTTTAGGGATATAGTATATTAGATTTATATTAAAATTAACCTAACTATTAGTAATAAGCTAACTATTAATAATAAGCTACTATAGGTAGTATAACCTACTATCTATAGTACTAGTAAAAGGGCTATATAGAATTAGAAGAAAGCTAAGTAGTAGTCTTATAAAATCTAGTTAACTATAGTAGTGTTTAGAAATAGTAGAGAAATTAAGTAAGTTAAAAACTAGTTAAAAATATAATAAGAGGTATATATAGGTATTATTAAGGCACTCTAGTTATATAAGGTAGAGTAGATAGTAGTAAAAGTTTTAAGAATAAATAATAACTTTAGATACTTTTTAGAGTATAAGTAGAAACTCTAAAGTATTTATAGCTACTATAAGGTAAAGAAGCTAACTAAGAAAAATAAGAGATTTATTATAAAGGTAATAGATAGGCTAAGTATTCTCTAGATATAAAAGATCTTACTTAGTATAAAGCTATAAATATAGCTATACCTAAGGCCGTCTTAAGTATAAAGCCTATAGTAGATAATATAAGAATAATAAGGCTACTAGTAGTTTTATAATATTAGATTATTTAGTAGTAGTAGGAGCTTATAGAAGTTTAGGTATATAAAAGGCTAAGTAGGTAATAGTAATAGTAATAGTAATAGTAATAGTAATAGTAATAGTAATAGTAAAGCTAGATATATTATAATATAGAATAAACTAGTATCTAGCTATATATTAGTAAGCCTTTAGTAGAGGTCTAGCTCTAATTTAAATAAGATTTTAGTAAACTTAGTAAATCTATATAAAAGAAAAAGGGTAACTAGTAAGTTATAAAGTAATTAAAATACTAGCTATTTATTCTAATTAGTTATCTATTAAAGGATCGTATAGATAGAGCTAGTAAAATATAAATAATAATTACTTATTATTTTATAAATACACCTTATTACTAACTAACCCTATCTAGGTTTCTATAGGTAAAGTTATAGCTTAATACCCTATATAAGAAAATAACTAAGAAAGATATTATTATTACTCTAGATATAGGTTTAATATCTAGCCTTAATAAGATATATAGATCGAGACTTTCTAAAATACTTAATGTGGGCGATAATATAAGTAGGATTATAACGATCTATTTTACTATATTACTCTTTATAAGGGAGCCGCTACATCTCTCTACCTAGTATTAGATATTGAGCTTTGAACCGGGTCTAGAGGAGATTTCGCTGGATCTCGACTACACAGCTGTCTGCGGCAATCTCATACTCTGGGATACGAGTATTAAGACGTTTCGGTTTTGCCACGCTTCCGCATAAGATTTTATGCGTCAGCAAGCCATCTTCTCGCCACTCTCTGCATAAAGTTTACTTGGAGAGATCTGTCTCCGGCAATGTTCACAAGGCCCACCTGACCTCTTTAAAGCGCAGAGCCTATCGCCTATCGCGCAGTTCTATCAGTATGCGGCTCTACATTGGCCGACTCATGTTCGAAATCTCGAGCTATCACACGCAGAGATGCATCATGTGGACGAAAACCTCAAGCATTTCGTGTTCATTGAGGATACTTGGGAAACAAGTCCTCCATTCCTACTTTGGCTTGACTGCATTTGTGAAGTTGTGGAAAAGTCACCTCCATACCACATCGTTGCGTACGATTTCGAGCCCATTCAGAGTCGCAGCATGTCTCCAATATTTACAGCGTGCGCTCTTGGCTTACCGAGCCTGCTCGCGTACATCTTGAAGAACGCTGTTCATTTCGATCTTGAGCAGAGCAGTGAGACTGGGCACACGCCTTTGTATCTTGCTTGCGCTCATGGTCATGCAGAAGTCGTAAGTATGCTTTTGAAGTACGGTGCTAATACCGCAACTGAATGCGGGAATTTTGGTAGCCCTCTGCATGTTGCATGCTTCAAGGGTCGGCAGGCAGTTGTAGAAAGACTGATTAGTCAGGGTATATCAGACAGTCCGAGCACCGCCTTCCAAAGCGCTTTTGAAGCTGCATGTATTGGCGGACACGAACCGGTTGCACGCTATTTGGTTGAGAAAGGACCCTGGATCCGAAACGCACAGAATCTCGAGAGCTTCCTACAGCAAGCGATCGAAGGTGGTCTTGCAAGCCTCTCGGGATGGCTTAGTCTTCCTGCCACGACGACTAGATATACCGGCAAAGATCAAAATGCTAGCGGTCATCAAGAAGTACTCATTAGGAGCGCCGTCCAGCGAGGGAACGTTCAAGTTTTACAAGGGCTTCTCCGCAACAGGCCTCAATGGAAAAGTCTGCTGCCGGCGGATGCAATTGCAACAGCTGCACAGTCTGGCCACGCGCACATGGTGACTTCCTTGCACAACCAAGGACTAGATCCCGATGTGGAGGGACCTTTCGGGTCCTCGCTGCGATGTGCTTGCGCATCAGGGAACGAGCGAGTAATTCGAGAGCTTCTGAGCGTGTGTGTCGCTATAAAGACATCAAAGACCTCTGGTGACGCACTACAAGTCGCCGCCCAGAATGGCTACGTCAATATCATTAAAGTCCTTCTAGAAGAAGGAGTTGATATCAATTCCCCGACAAAACCATTCGGGAACAGTTTGCAGGCAGCATGCTTTCGTGGACACAAAGCCACTGTAGAATTTCTGCTAGATCGCGGCGCAGACATGTACCAGAAGGGCGATCACGGGGATGCTCTGCAGGCAGCTACCACCGCCGGCCATGTTGGTGTTGCGTCATATCTTCTTGAAAGAGGCTATGTAGCAATAGGTGCGTTACCAGGCGTTGCACGTGGTGATGAAGAGACCTCACAGCGACCCGCTCGTGGTCGCCGACTACAATTTCAGCAGCCTGTAGACGATGAAGGCCCTATAAAGAAATATGCGACATCCTCTACGGATAATAGCTCCTCAGAAGATGGCTCACAATCGGACGAGGGAGTCGAAGGTGAAACAGGCGTCTCTCAAACGCTCGATATACCTCAAGGGCACTTTCAGCTGGCTGCGTACCTGGGAAACCTTCCTATCCTCCGCCAACGTTTGTTGCAGCTCGTACCAGGTTTAGGAGCTAGCGTAGAGGTTGCTCTTTGTATTAAAGCCGCCGCGTCGTCAGGTCAGTTGAACGCACTAAAGCTACTAACGTTGGAAGGGCTCAAGTATATCGAATTCGTCCAGTTCGACATCGTATCGATACTGTGTATGATCATACAGAGTAGCCAATTCGAGGCCTTTGTCTTCGTACTAGGCTGGTACTTCGAACTCAGCGACGTAGAACAGTTCGATTGGTACAAGGTACTCAACACGGCTGCTGGAACAACAGAACCGAAGTTCATGGTATCACTGATGAAAAGCATACCAGACACATCTCATCTAGATGCACTTCTGGCTGCTCTTCCCATCGCAGTCCAAGACGAAGCGACTGGTGTGGCCACATTACTCTGGAACGTTTTGGGCCAATGCCCTCTGTCACTGGTCGATTTGGAACGTCCGTACGCCATTCAACGTGTCCTGTTTTTGCAGCCCTACATTGATACGTCTAGTGACGTCGGTAGGAAGCGAGCAGAACACCAGCTACAGACCTTGATCATCATATCTCTCGAGCAGTCTGACCGAACCCTGCGCCATGAGCTACTAGAAATTGCCGTTCGTGCCGGCTTCGATGCTGGATTTTTCTTCGTCGTACTCATGCAAGCCTGTCAGCGTGGTTTAGGGTCGTTCATAGATACTCTCGCGTACCTCCAGAAGAGTCTGGTAGTTCGCCAAGCTCACGTTCACAAACTCCTCTCCATGGCCATATTTTCCGGTCACACGAAGATCGTTCGGGCCATCATCGAAGAAGTTCCAGAAGAAACCTCCTTCGATGACCTGAGCTTATACATAAGCGATAGTCTGGTATCCGCCGTATCTCGTGGGCATCATAAAATCATCAAATGCCTCCTCAGCATTGACAAGTACCGCTCCTCTATTCTGGAACTGGGCGGTGGGTCCCTATTGGGTCGTATGTTGGCTGGGGCTGCCGAAGCTGGACACCTCCGTCTTGTGCGCCTATGCTATGAAGAAGGGGCGGACATCAATATGCATATTCCTTCGGTGCATCCTGTAACATCATCAAAAGAGTATGCGCGTGCGCTTCTTCGTGGCAAACAGAAGCGACCTGTGGAACTTGATCCACAGGAAGCGTTGCACTACCGCGATTCGCAGCCATCGGGCCTCCGTATCCCGGCCAGGGGTTTCGTGGAAGCGGTGCCTGAGGGTGCCACTATAACTCCGCTACAAGCTGCTTTGCGTGGCTATAATCGCCTTCGCAAGGTGGCTGAAGGTCCCCGAGTACCGTATCGCCACCTTGCCGGCCTGATAAATGCCGAAGAGCAACGAAATCTGATAGTCTCCGAGCTGTTACAGCAAGGTGCTGATCCTAACGATCATGGGAGTGATTCTAGATTGCCGCTACAGCTTGCGGCTACCTACGCTGGAGATGACGTTATTCAGCTTCTCCTCGAGAAGGATGCAACGGTTGACGGCTTCGAGGGAGGCGAGAACGCAAGTCTGATAGCATTAGCAGCAGCTAGGCAAGACGAAGTGGCCTTCCGTGTCATAGCACGTCTTGCAACAGCTCGCTCGCATATCTCTGGTGGGACACGCAAAAGATAGTCCAGGATGTTGTCCGTTCTCTGGAGTCTTATATATCGCCATGGGGAAAACATGGACGAAGTATCCTTTTCAACGGAAACAGCATGCCGAAAAAACCACTTTCCCTCACCCTGGCTAAAAGACTCATGGACGGAGGCATACTAGTCGTCCTCCGAAAGCTGTTCGAGTACATGCCTGATCTCGACATTAGTTTCAAACGCAAGCCAGTATTCATGACTGTCGCTGAATACCATACGATCGATGTCGGTAGTGTTTTTTCTGACACGTTGAGAGTGGCTGCTGTAGCAGGTAACCTAGCGACTGTACAGTTGCTCATCAAACATGGAGTCTCGCTGGATCTGAACTTGTGCGGGGAAAGCGCACTCGATGGGGCCGCGCGCTTGAACCAGCTTCCCGTTCTGAAGGCACTATTGAAGGCAGGAGCCAAGCCGACAGTCGAAGGAGTCATTCACGGTGGCAGCGTCAACGCTCTGAGATTGATTCTTGACAAAAGTGCCGTTGCCATTGAAGACTCCGCTCTTGAACAAGCTGTGAAAGTAGGCAACGAAGACTTTGTTGAAGCAATCCTCGAACGGACCGGAAGCTCGATTGAGAATTCCAACGCGTTGTCATATGCCTGCGACATCGGCAATCTGTATCTGATCGATAAACTTCTACAGGCAGGGTCACCAGTCAACCATCTGGTTGAAGCTGAAGTATATCCGAGACGTAAACGTTCGCCTTTGTTGATAGCTGTCAAGCGGGGACACGAACGCACAGTCAGAAAGCTACTGGAGAATGGCGCAGACCCTAACCTGAAGACTGACGATGACCTCACATTCCCGTTGATAGCAGCTACTCACGAAGGGTGTCTCGAAATTGTCCAGCTGCTTCTCCAGCATGGTGCTGACGTAAATTGTGAAATGGCGAAACAATCGAGCATCCACCAGCGCTGGGCAGAGCCGAGAGGTATGTCTCTCAACTTTGACCAAGACTATCTGGACGATGACGAGTCAGAACGGGAACATGAGATCGAGGGTTCTATTGATGATGAAGTCGCCTCGCATGCGTCTCAACAAGATTCGTTTCACACCAAGCTCTCGTATGTTTTAGAGTTGTTGAGCCTCTCTATCCCTTCGCGAAGTCTCTCAATGACAGACGGGATTCCATCAACACCTCTCCAACTGGCGTGTGAATATGGGGCCTCTGATATAGCTAGAGAACTGATCGCACATGGCGCATTGGTTGTCGATGAGGCTAACACGAAACCTCAAAACCTTTTCTCCGGCTGTTTTATCGGCGATTGGTCAACCTCCATGAGAGAGGTCTTGCAGATGTTGTGCGAGTACGCCCTGCATTTGCCTCAGTGGGACGACATCGGACTCGCCTCATTCGCAAAAGCTGCAATCGCGAGATGCTCAGAAGGATTCGAACTTCTGGCAAGTTACTTCCCTCCAAGTCCGATTTTGTTGTCTTTCGCTTGCATGTGTGGCTCGACTTGTACAGCTCGAACTTGTGTGGAACAAGGAATCCTAATTGACACTCTATTGCCCCATGGTCTTGCGCCGCTTCACCTTGCGGCTTTATTTCTGCAAGATGATCTGGTCGCTGCCCTACTCAAGGATGGTGCGGACCCTAACCTCCCCGATGCTCTTGGACAAACGCCACTTACCCGTGCTATTTCGGGCCTTCAAAAACTGCTTCAAGTTGGTGAAGATGAAGTAGAGGATCTGATACCTTTGCATATTATCTCTTTCGAGCGAGTCGTACAATTGCTTCTAGACAGTGGTACTGATGTCGATAGTGGCAGCACAGTTGAAGACAAAGCTCTCCACCTAGTATGCTCCATGGGCCACGTACCTGTAGCTCGTTCGCTCATCGAGAAGTCCAAAGAGATTGACCAGTGGGCGGGAGGCCATGGAACACCCCTTTTTGCTGCTCTGGACGGGGATCGACCAAGCATTATTGAGATCCTGCTCGAGCATGGTGCCGACCCTAACCAGACACGAGAGCTCGACTCGAGCGATCCGCGTGGTCGTTTCAAGCATCTTCACAAGAGCAGTGCAAACTCACATCGGGGACCAGTTGCGCAGACTGCCGTAGAAGCGGCCCTTGGGAAAGAGTCGCCCTTACTTCTTCGGACTTTCTTGTCTCTTGCTCCGGACTTGGATGTTTCCGATCTACTCATGACGGCATTGAAAGCTAGTTTCAGACGACCGGGATCGTTGCCGCCATATAGTGACCAGACAGGACGTTCACCTTCGGAGAAATCAGATTTCGAACTAGTCTTGAACGCTCGCAAGGACTTGTATGTGTCTGAGAAAGTTATGGAACGCCTGTTGGAACTTGGTAACGGTGTGCAATCCGAGCTGCTCAAATATGCGCTTAGCCGCCGCGAACGAGGTATGCCAGCCCAACTGATCGGACGAGCGACGTCCCGTCTACGGAATTATTCCAATTCTTCATACGAAAGCTGGAGACGCACCGATTCGGAAGAATTCAGTGATTATGATGATAGCGATCAAGGGTTTGCGAAAGACGCCAATTCAACTTGGTATAGTGGGAACGAAGACAGCGATCGACATTCAGAGAAGGATAACGATCAAGGGCATGTAGGAGAAGGCGAATCATTCACCACTCACCATGGCAGCAGCAAACTGGATGCTGTTTTGACAAGGGGTGACCTGTTCGCAGAGAGGAGGCTATTTTATGATATCAAAGATGCTGAACTGGAGAACAGTAACGTTGATCACGCTCTTATACTGGCTTCTGAGACAGATCGTGAGCCATTGGCCAGGCTTTTGCTCGAGAAAGGCGCATCGGCATCTCGCAGTATCAATGGACGAAACGCATTGTCCGCAGCGTCTTACGCCGGCTCAATCTCGGTTCTAAAGCTTCTCCTGAATGCTCCCGGCTTTCATATCGAACTCACTGATCAATACGGACGTACGCCGTTGTGGTGGGCCGCAGCGGGTGGCAACGTCCAAATCATCAGGCTGTTGCTGAACCAATGCCAAAGCAATCCATCCAAAGCAGATTGGCTTGACCGATCTCCAGCTATGATAGCTGCTATGAAGGGTAATTATTCCGCAATGGATTTGCTATTGAGTAAGGTCTTTAAGAGAACAGATCTAGAGTATGATGCCACTCTCGGAGCTTTCGCAATCAACGGTCGACAGCCATGGTTATCTTGCGATATCTGCACGGCACCGATCCAGTTGTCACACCATCACTATCACTGTAATACCTGTTCTGGGGGAGACTGGGACATGTGCAAAGAGTGCAAAGAAGGCGGGGCGTCGTGTCATGACCTTTCACATGAGTTGGTTGAACGTGTGATGAGGGACGGTGCCTGGGTTGAACACAAGGGTGAGAGATTGCCTTTTTTGTAGTGGTGGTATCATCCCTATGAAGACCTCTGATGACGTCAACGTTGCGCGCCATTTCTTTGCTTCCATTCACGTTCGCCTACAAGATCACCCTTGCGTTGACGTTGGCACGGACGCGTTACGTTGGGAGAAGTAGCTTTTGGCTGAGATTAATTCACTGCCGCCGCTTTCCAGAATATCTTCGACATGAGTCTAAATCTCATAGAGCTTGTCAACACATGTCACATTCATATTTGGGAATTACATGACGTAGTTGAGACCGTCACGCATTCCGGTCTGAGTCGGCGGCGGGTGATATCCCACTCAAGGCAGGGAAAAATCTGCGAGCCACTCTCCCTTCCTATTTACCTTATCCTATATCCCGTCGAAAACGAGTTAGAGATGACTCGTATTGTGCAAAGAAGGCCTGACGATGAACGTGAGCCCATAGGCTGCAAACATCCTCTAAGTAGAAAGTTTGTCGCAGTGCCCATCTGAGGGGCTGCAAATGTAACCTAAGTAGTGTTCCAATATCATTAAGGGTCAGCGCAACGCATACCGGGGTACGAGAACATCAGGTGGACCAAAACATAGAGTTGCTTACATGCTCATTTCGAGAAGAATATACCACTAACTATAGTCGGTCAGGTGTTGTTTCTATCTAACTTCTGTGATTTTACCGTAGAAACTCGACATAGATTGCGCTATCTAAGCAGGGTGGTCGAAGACTGTGCTTCAGTACTCGGCTTTCACCATGCCATACTCTTTCCCAGCACATTTGAAAGCAAGCACTATTCTCGCACCCTCGACCTTGACGAGCAAATTGTATTTCACCACGCTGTACTTTGTTCCGTCTGAGATTCTTCTCTTGGTCTTATAGTGCTCGTCTCATATACACGTTATTCCATCGCACGCGTGGTATCGCTAGTGTGGGTGATATCTGACCGCGGTACAATTATTGTAACCATACCGAGTGTATAACTAGGGTTCTCTCTGCGTCGGTTCACTTTGTATCTTCGGGCAATCTGCGCCACTCCATCGCTGCACTGATGAAAAGAGCAACGATGGAACTTACAAGGGTCAGCAGAAACACGTTCCACAAAGCCTCCCCGAATACATCGATCACCTTGTCTAGTAATTCTGGGCTGATTAACCGCCGAAAGTCTTTTGCGCCTGCCGCGACCACTGCTGCACCATCTAAGCCGTCGATCCCGCGTAAACTTTTCAGAAGGGTGTCCGTGAAGAGATTCTGGGCGATGCTGGGTCCCAAGGAGGCGCCGAGGCATTCGAAGAAAATGACGAAAACGCAGCCTGTCGGCACGTCCTCCTTGTCGAGAACTACCTGCACCGCCAGGACCGGTATCTGCCCACAGATACCGTAGCCAATGCCGCTGGCGATCTGGTATCCGATCCAGCTCGACGCTGGGCTGTGCGCATTGAGAAGTTTAAAGAGCCCACCGCCTGCGGCAAGGGTAGGAGCACCAATCCACATGAACGGGACGTAGTAGCCCACTTTGGAAATGACCCAGCCAGCCGCAAAAGTTGAGAACATGGTTGAAATGGCAAACGGAAACATGTAGATGCCCGAGTCTTTGGCGCTGGTGTCTTTGACGGACTGGAAGTATATAGGCCAGTAGTATGTCTGCACGGTTATGGCCAGTTGGAGGAACATCATGAAGCCGCTCGCTACGCAGACAGTGCGATTCGCGAACAGATAGAGTGGAACAGTACAGCTAGATAGGTCAGCGGTGGCCAAAGTGCGTTCGCGGCAAGACTTACCTGTTTGTGTCCTTCATTTGCATCACAAGGAACAGGATCAAGGTCAGGCCAAATCCGATCAAGCAGCCATAAACCTTTGCATTAGACCATGGATAGACGATGCCTCCCCATTGCAGAGCGAGCATCAGGCATACGACCGAGCCAATCAAAACAGTGGCGCCTGGTAGATCTAGCTGACGTAACTTTATCTTGGGAGGTAGTCCTGCTTTCACTGCCATCGGGGGCGTCCGGAGAGCGAACCATATCTGAGCGAGCCCAACGGCTCCAACAGCTGCGAACTGTCAGCATACAATGTTGCGGCGACGGTTTCGAATTACCTACGAAGATTGACCCAGAAGCAGAACCGCCAAGTGAGCTTTGAGTTGTCCGTTATGGCTCCACCAACGAGCGGACCCAGCACAGATCCAACGCCATAAACGATAGAGATAAGTCCCATCAGGACCGGGCGTTTCCTTAGCGCCACACAGTATGAGATGATAATGGCCGCTCCGCTCATCAAGCCCGCAGCGCCCACGCCTGACACTGCGCGTCCCATAATGAGAGTTGTCGAGTTCTGGGCTACAGCGCAGATGACAGAGCCCAGTTCGAAGATGAGCAGCAGGACAATGTATGACCACTTGACGTTGTAGAAAGTGAAGATACGACCGCAGGTAGGGAGAAAGGCCATCTGAGTGATTTTGTACGCGGAGCCGTACCAGCCGATGTCGTTGAGGCTGTTGAATTCACTAGTGATGCGAGGTATTGCCGTTGCTTGGACATTTGTTAGATTGGCATTGCCACGCTGCCGACCCGAAGATACATACCTAGAATGGTATTATCGAGGGACAACACGAAACCGGAACTCATCAAAGCCATTCCCAGATACCACAAGTCCCAACCTTCGAGAAAGGCGGGTGTATCCTCGTCGCTCGATGCATCGTCGCTCGTTGCCGCCAAAATCGCATCGTCGTTCTTTTCGCATCCTGCTTCCCCAGCGATATGCCTCTCCTCTGGAGTGATGGGTGGCATGCTTGCAACGAAATTGGGGTAAGAGAATGCAGTTTCAGAGGGCAGAGAAACAGAACGACACATGGGCGGCTGGGAAAAGGGCGCACTGTCGAAACAAAACTGGGAGCTTCAGGCAGCGCTTTAGGCTTAGACATGTGGGGGCGTCAGCTTGACCTCGACCGAGCCGGCGACGTAAAACGCCGTTGACGCTAACACCTTGGATTATCGGAGGCTCAAACAAACTTTAGTGCAGTCAGACTCAGAACCGAAGGATGTCTAGTCCTTAGTAACTACTAAGTAATCAGAACTTCCGTCGCTTAACCTACTTAGGCATACTAAGACATATAGTACTGTATTATATGGTGTGACAGGATGTACGGGACTTTTCCGTCTGATACCGTATCCGCATATCCCTACTTACGGTCGACTCCGCCCAAGCCCAACCTGAGTCTAATGCGACTATCTGCTAATGCTTTGTGACTGTATTTGTGCAGTAGCCCGCGGATGCTAGGTCCTTAGCAAGGTAAATTGACCGTCATCAATCGAGACGGCAATGTGGGCATAGGCTAATTACACTTTTCAACTACAGCGTGCTCGGTCCTGCGCCGGTGCGATTTTACACCTTCTTTCAGAGAGTTAGTACTGATTCCACCAGTGTGGGCATGCAGGTCGCGCGTATGTTGAGGGACAAGGTTAGCAGATGTTGTGTTTGATACCCTTGTCAGACTTACCAATGCGCTCTAGGATGCTAGTACACCAAGCAACTTCACCTCCAGTATACCCATTCGGATCGGGCTCTACAAACACTCGTCCTTATCCTTGTTCACATGATTATTGAAGACGTTGGACTATCTGCCCCTTCTGGTCCTAGTATCGGGTTGTTATGTATCAATGATAAGCGAGTATCCATCCACATGAGTTCATAAGCGGCTCGTTGTACAATGAGGTGGAGGGTGCTAACCGGGTCCTCCACTTGGCATTGCGTGTGTCGATATGCTATAGGTACAACAGGCCACCTTCCCACCGGAAAACCCACCGGAAGCCCACCAAAACCCACCGGAAACCCACCGGAAACCCACCGAATACTAAGATGATCTTGCCACGACACGTTAACAGCCACTGGAAAAGCAGTGTTGAGAAGTCTATGCGATAACTCCAGACGGATCATCAAACGGTATATGCAGACCCCTGCGAGATTGTTACTCTATGCGCATCACTGGTACATTTGACATGATATTCTTCGGCGCGCGTATATTCAGCCTAAGCTGGTGCATCGGAGGGATTTCAGATCGATCATCATACTGTGTTACTCAGACGGAACTTCCGCTGAGTAGAGCCCTGACGCCTTCAATACTCCCGACGCATACTCGTCAAACACTACCCCCGACACCGTCGCCTCCGTCGGAAGGCTGTATCCGAAACCAGAGTACTAGCGTACTTAAGGCCCAGCAGTCGCTAGAGACATAGACAACAGCGCTGCGGACGATGCCAAGTAGAGCTAGAACAACCACACCACAGGTGACGCCGAACAAGCCAGGCATACGATTGATCCCTTATCCCTCTTGGGAACCCGGCTCAATCGTCGCCTATCGTGATTTAGCGACGGTGTTCAATTATCTTGGATTGCTGTACTACCAAGCTTATTTCAGGTCTTTCCAATTTTTTACCCCCGTGATTGCATTATTCCTCATGTACGATTGGTTTGAAAATGATTGAATTCTCACACACACTCGATCTCGGGTCATGAGATAGAAATCATACTTTGTCATTTCGACAATCGGATTCGTATCGTCTTTCCGCGGCCAAGCTCACCACTCTGCCTTGACCGCCTCTTCCACCCTATTTCCAGCGCGGTCAAAAAATAGCTTCTTGCCACTCCTCAAGCTTTCTTGCAAGAGTGTACCAATATAAACTGCCAGCACACTGCTCTCCAAATCAATAGGTACCGGCTTATTTTCCAGCACCGCATCCACAAACTGCTGCGCCTCCTTCACAAACGCATGCTCAAACCGTTCAAAGAAATTTTGCGGGATATCTCTATAGATACCATCTGCTGTATGGCTCTCTAGTAGACTAGATGCAGGATGCGCATTCACAGAAAGCTTTCCTATTGTGCCGATAACATCAGTCATATCGTGCTGCCCTGGTGAATTCATTCTGGAGCTGAAAAAATAGGCGATCTGGCCCTCGAAGAATTCTACAACGCCAACCCCATTATCGACATCTCCATACTTGACGAGTTCTGGCTCCAGTGCTGCAACACCGACGGCCGTGACAGTTCTTACTTTTGGCAAAGCCTTGTCCGGAGTACCTGCGGACAAGAACCACAGCGCCAGGTCGATATCATGGATATTGCAATCAACAAAGATACCGCCACTAAACTGCGCGTACTGTACAAAAGCACCGCTAGCGTCGTACTTGTCGCAGGTTTGAGAGCGGAGGATAGTAGGACGCCCTATAGAGCCTGCGACTGTAGACCGGTACGCCGCAAGATAGGAAGAGTCGAAGCGCCTGGAGAATCCGCACATGACCTTTAGATCTGGGTGGGTGCGGGCAGAATCGAGGACGTTTTGGCACTGTGGTTGATGGTTAGCTCACGTGTCCACTACTACGTCGATGGGCAGCATAGGTACCAGAGACAATTCCGTGCTCAAGGGTTTTTCACATAGTACATGCTTCCCTGACTCAATCGCCTTGATCGACTGTTCCGCGTGAACACTCGTAATTGTTGCTATACACACTGCTTCCAGTCCCATGTGGTTCAGCATCTTATCATAGTCCTCGTATATGGTGACGCCCCATGGCTCGAGGTTCTCCTTCGCCCACGCAATTTCCCCTGGGGTCCGGTGAGAATACCGCTATTAGGTTAGCACGTGGTGTTTGGTGCAGGAAGTTATGGGCATGGCGAGCACCCATGCGGCCAAGTCCGGAGACCGCAATGCGTAGACGGCGAATTTGATGGCCCATGGTGAACCCCGAGAAGGGAATAAGTGTATGCTTGTCGCTTGAAGCAGAGGCAAAAGAGAGACGATATAGTGGCGTACGTGCAGACGCAATCGCGGACTTGTGGTGTTATAGACAGCTCGCCTATATGCTTTGCTTGTATCTTCGGCGGGTTAATCCCGTGGGTACGGTGGATTGATAACCCCCAGGTCGCCGCACAGCGTGCAACTGGGCTGCTTTGGTCATAAGGCGGCTCATTTCCATACATCATTGCCGCATGTGAAATTGGTCGCTAACATGACAACTTCCCAGCGTATTGGCACTGGAAGCATGCATTTCTCGCGATATCTTGGTGGGGTTAGTGATGCATATGTTACATTTTCTCCCTCCCTGGTTAGCAGCTGTGAAATTCGGTGCTCATGCTTGAGTGTGACTAGTAAGCGATGCAGGTCTACTGCAGACTCATATCCTATCATTGTCCGTCCGCCACTTATCGCGACCTCCGTTGGCCGCGATAACTATTTGACAGTGAACGCTAATGTTGTGCCAAGACGTGCCTGTAAATGTTGAAGCTTGCGCCGGTCTTCTCGGGGAAGGATTGCTGCGATGTATGACGAAGTCCGTGATGTCCGTGATGTCCTTATTTACAGGTCCACGAGTCTGCTATTAGAGATTATGCAAACTCTTCTGCAGAGTTTAGGTACTGATTTGTCGATCGACCAGACACGTTCGCCATCAAGAGTCGCACAGGTCACCTGAGTCGTGAGTCACTACGGTCTCCCATGCCCTAGCCATGTATAGCCATGTATCCGTGCACGATACGGCGGAGCATGGGTCTAGCCCGCTGGTTGCAGGCTATTCGTTAGCAACTACGCTCTCCCTTGCCTCTTACCCCCAGTCTCGCACGACAGCCGGTTGATTATCTCCTCGCCAAGTGACATCATCAACCACACGCTGCTGCATTGCGTACGCACGCGAGAGAACTCGATACAGCCGCCGGTTAATCACCACTCCGGTCCGCTCCCTGATACCCGCTAGCGTCCGCTGCCTAGTTGCCGCTAGCGTCCGCCCCCCTAGTTGCCGCTTAGCTGCCGCTAGCGTCCGCTCTCCCCATGCCGCTAGCGTGGGGTGTATACGAGTAGTCGGCGCTAGCGCTCACTTGTCGGTTGCTGCTGGCGTTCGATCCGTCCGCGCTCCAAATCGCCGCTACTGTCGCCTGCGTGCGCCATTCTTAATGCATTGCTTCGTATGGTCAAAGCGCACTACTCGATTACGACTAGCTGGACGAGTATGGCGAGCATCACGGCAGAGAAGAGCGGCATTGGTGGAGTAATTGTGGATGTGATTGCCTAACTGCGCACGGACGAGTACACTATGCGAAAACGATCTGTCTGACCACCTCGGCCGCCTCTTTCAAATGCTCACAGAACTGTGTCGCGCGACCACGCTCCGAAGTCACCACGGAAAAGTAAACACTGCACGCGCAAATTAGCGCTCTTCCTGAAGCCTCGAAGCGTCCAAACACCAACGAAAAGATCATCAAATGGTCAAAGGAGGGATGAAAACGTACCTCTCGTCATAAACCTCGTAATGCGACCAGACAGCTTCAGGGGCCTTCCACATGCACCCTTTCTCCAGCATTCCCGTTTCAAAGCAATTGCTCATCATGACCCTCGGCCTCACCTTCTTGTAGACTGGGTCTTCGTATAAGGCCGGCACTTGCTCACCATTCTCCAGAAGAGCACGCAGGGCCGTAAGATTACGCTCCCAGCCAAGGTTCCTACCAGCTTTGTTGATGGACGCGATGTGCGCGCGGGTAGCCTTGATCAGCAGGGCGCGGCGCTCGGGCAGATCGACGGACGGATCGCGCGCAGCAGCCAAAAAGGCGGCGACCTGGGGGTTGACAACTTGAATGATATCAACGCGGCCGAGGTGGTAATGCGCTTGGTTCACAGTTTCCCAGCATGGGGGCGTGTAGCCGAACGTTGAATGGGCGGCAAGCTGAACGACCAGTTGAAAAACGCTCTTGGGAGACATTTTCACGGCCCGGAGTGCCTTGGAGCCGTAGCCTTCGAAGGAGAAGTACGCATGTTCGGCGTCCTTGATGCTGTCGGCATATTGAACTCGCACCTTTTCAATGTGCGCTTCGAGTTTCAAGTCGATCTTCAGGGGCAAAGGTTCGAGCGTGGTGGTAGTGGTGGCCGACATAGTGCCAGCTTCTGTGTGGGAATGGCTGCTGATGGCGGCGGCTATGGCATCATTCAACTTACCCAGCGTCAGGGCGTCCAGCATAGTGTGTTCGCCGATTGTGCCGGAGGCTCCGTTGCTGCATACGACAAACTGCAGCGATTTGTCATGCCATCGATTTGCTGCATCCTTCTCGCCTCCAAAGTGGAACTGTCGCCCCCTCTCCGCGGCGGTCGTGGGGTTAGCTTCGTCCAAGGAAACACTAAACGCAGCGGCCTCGATCGTCTTTATATTTGCAGCGTTCTGCGAGTCATGAAGCTGGAGCTGTTGTCTTGCTTCGGCCCATGGACGCCTGTTGTCTGCGGTTAAGATGGTGACAAAAGAACGAGCCACCGGCTGACGCAAGATTAGCTCGAACGCAGTGAACAACTCTTGATAGGTCGCCGGCTGGTCCCTTGTACAGAGACTCAGCTTGTAGGCGTGACCCTTCCAAAAAACAACACAGTAGTCGTTGTTCGGGTGTTTCACCATCTCATCGCTGTCAACGCCAGGAACGCGTACAGTGTTGAATATCCATTTATGGAACGCGGTTGTCAACTCTCGTTCATTCAGCACCTCCGGCTCGACAAGTCCTGCGTCCAGCTTCAGCTTGAAGTTGTTGATTGTGTATGCTAGAAGAGCAGCTCGCTCTGCTTGCGAGTGCTGTCGTGTGCTGAGCGGATGGCTGAACCAGAAGCTAGTGCATGGAGTGAGCGACACTCTACGGTCGAGGAAGCCGCGCTGAAGTTGAAGCTCATATTCCCAGTTTTCGACGCTTGGGTCTGCAGCTCTAGCGGCGGCACGGCTGTATAGGAGTTGGCCTTGACCGCCTGGCTGTTTGAAATCTTCGACGGCGCGCAAGGTGTTCGCAAATTCCGAAGGAGTTGCGAAGGCCTTGACACCTGTGAGGAACGCATCACACAACGCGTTGATGTCTGGTAAGGGAAATCTAGGCAATCGGTTCGGAGCGAAGCGATACTCGCGTTTTGTTGCACCGTTGGAGCTTGTTGTGCCATTCACGATGCCTTTTGATGGGACGATTTCGTTCGCTGCATTTTCTGTAGGCTTCAAAATAGTTCCGTCCTGAATTGCGCGCGACATTGCGGTGAAACACGAGGATAAGTTGGTAAAGAGAAGGCTGTACGAAACACAATCTTCCGGACAGAGTAGATGGAATAAGCCCAGTCAACTGTATGTGTGACTCAACTCAATGTCTCCGCAATGAACTTTGCATTGGTTAAATGAGCCAAGCTTGCGGCTTCTCCAAAGTCATACAAGGATTCAGGAAAAGAGGTCAGGGATGCGAGTCTCGATAAGCTTTATCTGCCGTCCCTGGTTAGCGTGGAACTGACCAGGGGCCTTGGCAGTTCCTACGGGATCCTTTGTCTTATCCACGCGGGGTAGTTCCTTCGTCTTACCCACGCTGGGTAGTGCCTTCGCACACTACTACAGGTGGAACGTGTGACGAGTAAGTACTAGCAAGGGTGCCGAAATCTAGACCCAGGTTAAGCATGCCGAGAATTGCTTGCCGGACCGTTTTTCCGACATGTTTGCTTTCCTACTGTGGTGTTCGGCGAGAGTAGTGTCGGTGAGCAGCGCATAACAAGGGTGCGAATCCTATGGCAACATAGATCCCTTGCTGACATAGATGCGTCGAAACAAGCTTTTCCCATACAGATCCACCTATAACTCTCTCACGAGCTTTACTCTTTCGATCAACCCCACGTCGTATAACCTCTTTGACAACGAGACTAACGCACTTCGATGAGAATGCGGTGAGAGCGCTGCCTGCTTGCGTCGCGTCGTTCGTATGTCCGCCAAACCCACTCTAGACCTTCTACTTTCTTCCAAGCTTCATGTATAGTTCGGGGTATGTCTGCTCATCCATATCTCAAAACGCCCCATGCACTCCTTCAGCTAGCAGAAACTGGAGGGGACGAGTAGAACTTGTCTTTTCGTCCTTTCTTCTGGGGAATTGATCCACATTTCTCCATCAACGTACTCCTTTGCTTGTAACCACAAAAACACCGTATTTGATAAGCCCAGTAGATCAACTATATTTTGTTACTTGTAGCCTTCGTTCAAGATCAATGTCAGACATCATCTCGAAGATTTGCGATACTCGCCGGTCTCTACGTCAAAAAGGATGAGCTCGAAAAGGTCTGCTTGTGACCGTTGTCACAGGATGAAAATGCAGTGCAAGACGGACGGACGTAACCAACAGTGCAATCGTTGTCGAAGTGTCGAAGTTCCTTGCAATTATAGCGAACCAGGAAAGCCGGGGCGGCCACCAACTAAAGGTGCCGGTGTGATCACACAAAATATTTCCGCTGTTGCAGAGCCGACTAGCGTCAGCACCCTATCAGGTCAAGTAACTGCTGAAGAGGATGCCTGGATTCGAGACGCACTCAACAATGACATGCGCAATGGACCTCAGCAGTTCATGGGGATGGACATGGAGCCCTGGCCGCAACACGGCTTCGTGAATGTTTCCTCGGACACTTCGTATATGCAGTTGGGTCAGGAGGATGCGCTTGGTACGATGTCATGGCCCTCGAGCATTACCCAAATGTCTTCATCAAGCTCGACCAGCGAGAACCCGCCAATTCACGAGGGAATTTTGGGCGACTTTGGACTTGCGACTGACCCGCAACCTCTATTCATGAATTCGGACGCGAACGCCACGGGCTGCGCGCTTCAAGACTACCTCCAAAAGCTTGCCCATTTTCAAGTAACATTAGCTCGCGTTATCGACTGTGGATCATACCTCAATCCTTCCAAACTTGAGCAGGAAGCAGCCTATGTGCTCGAAAGTTCCTCGATCTTCCTCGAGCTCGTCCAGATACCCACAAGTCCCGGGAAATCTCAGGGGGCATCCAACATACGAAGTTGCTCCGGGAAAGAAGGTCTATTGCAGGAGCTCCACCATTACTGCGCCAATCGTCACGGGTGCAAAGGATCTCAAGAGTCGTCAACCTTTGACACCGCCGTCGTCTTGCAACTCATCTCGATTTCAATGCGCCTAACCGAACTGCACCATTGGTTCTACTCAACTATCCATCGTTGCCTCCAACAAAACCCGGACTGGATGAAACAGGCCACGGCTGGCAGTGGTGGCAGGTCTCCGGCGTGTTCCCTTTCATTTTCCGTCGCCGGCGTGGAGCTAGCACCACATCCCCATTTTCGACTCCAGATGCTCCTCTACACAGGCTTCCACTACCTCAACCGTATCCAGAAAACACTGAGCGAGCTTGAAGCACTTGGCTCTGACGACACATCACAACGACCGCCGAGCTTAGCTCGGCACACGCGTATGCTGATCAGCGAGGACCAGCAAACACGAATGGCCAAGATCCGCTTGGTTCTAGCTAAGCTGAAAGACGACTTCGGTGTAAACATAAGTCTTTGAGGGTTCAGTAAAGCCGGTGTTCCGTGATAGAGTTTAACAATTACGTCACGTTTATCAGCGGCGGCCAATGTACAGAATGTTCGCTTCGAAGAATCGATTCGAACAGCGTTTTTTGGTGTTCGAGTCAAACAAATGCACAGGCATAGTGACTCGTACAGAGCTCTGGATGAATACATTTCTTACGTTCAGGTGTTCGGGACTACGTTCGATCGTAGTACTATAGAGATCATAGGATAATTAATAAAGTTTTCCTAAATCTTCTACCGTCCTTTTGCGAAACGTGGCGTTATTATGTGGGGGGTGTTGATTCTACCAGAATCATATCTTCCACGGCCGCATAGATAAGACTCTGCTTTACTTTACTCTCACTGATATATCCTCCTTGGCGGATCGGCATACCCGCCAGAGAGAAGAGCCTCTCCGGTAAGGATTACTCGACACTGAGGCGAAAAGTACCGGCATCATACTTTCACCCTCCTAAACAAAAGATTCTTTGATGGATCCGGACTCGTGAAGCCGCCCGACTCGATCTGTGCATACCTGGCAGTGCTTCCATCCTCGTTTTTGATGTCATAATCGAGCAGTAACCTCGCAAGGATCATCTTGATCTCATTCGCCGCAAAAAAGCGCCCCGGACAAGAATGCTTGCCGTACCCAAATGAAAGATCCCGTTCATTGGTTGTCACAAATTGGTTCCGTGCGTGGTCGGAAGCTGACCCAGATTGACGCAGCTTATAGTATCTAAAGCCGTCGAAGACCTCAGCAGGCTGTGAATCAGGAGGAAAATTGGCTTCATCCATGTAGATTGCGTGGGATGGCGCCTCGATGATGACTCCCGGAGGAATGTACTGGCCATTTGAGAGGGTAAAGCCGCGGAGAACTTTGCGCTGGAAATTTGCGATGCCACTATAGAAGCGGCCGGTTTCTTTCATGTAGCTGTCAAGCTTGACCATTTGTTGGAGAGCGCGGGTGGTTATGGCACCTCCGTTGTCCGCCATAGCCTGGCGAATTTCCTCCCGAAGAGGCTCCATATATTCGGGAGAAGCCGCGAGAGAGTAAAGACTTCAAGTAATCATTAGTTGACCGCCGGAACCGGTAAGAACAGACCTTCTGCGACTTACATATTCGTTACCGTTGTAGATGTAGTATGCACTGCCACAAAAATGAGGGTGAGCTGCTGCCTTGCAAGCAACAACGAGTCGTTTCGATTTCCCTCTTTGGCACTTCGATTCATGAGCCAGCCAAGCACTAAATGCGCGGAGATGAAGTCAGTACGATGTTTCGAAATTAAACTAGAGCGTGAACGATGTTAGGGCTAGTGCTACGTCATGAAGCTTTGTTGGGCTAAAAATATAGCATCTCCTTCGCTTTGAGACAGAGCAATTAGGTTGTACCCTGACCTTACTTACTATCATCAGGCTGCTGCCACTCCGGGTCGTTTGCTTGAGCGTTGCATCGGGCTTCAATGATAGGCTCTAACATCTGCTTAGCCTTCCTCTCAGTTTCGTCCAACTTTCGCACTTCTGGTAGGCGAGGAGCGAGCCATCGCCGTAGAAAAGGTCGTGTACGCTTGACTGCTTGCGCCGCTGTGACAAGTTCCACGGGGTAGTTGATCGCGGCGTCGAGATACTCTTCGTTGCGACAGAGTTCCGGGCCGACAAAAATGCGACCAGTGATCTTCGCCACCATACTGACCAGCTTCGGGTTGACCCTCACTGGAGTCCAATCTTCGCAGTCTGCTGGCATTTCGTCTTTCAAGGTTTCCTCGACCACCGTATAAACAACACCGTTCAGGCGCGCTACCGCGGGTCAGTGGAGAAATCATGGAAGAGACACGTGAAGTCGTACCAAGAGCCGGAGTGAGATCAGCCCTGATTGAATGGATGACAACAGTGATGTCACGGTCGTTTACAAGCAGCTTCGTATACCTGGAAAGTTGATATGCCATGAAAATTTGTCTCTCGTGCATTACGTGTCATTTCATAACTCACTTTACGGCCAAAAACTGTTCAACAGCTTTTTCAATACTGAGAATCGATTCGGGGAGCTTTCTCAGCTCAGGTAAAAGGCTAGGACTAATGACGACTTGGTGAAATCCGTCGGCGGATGTCACCCTCCACACCGAGTCTTTGAACTTTGAGCTCGTCAGTCGAATAGCTCGACAATACTACAATAGCATTCACCTTCTCATAGCCCTCTCGGTACAATTTCTTCGCCGACTTCAGGTACTGCTTCCTATGCGCCTCGCTACTGATTGCATTGTGGAAGGCAGGCAGTCTTCCGATGTGGGAATCGAAATAGATTCTCTGGACGGAAACGTATGCTGCGAAAACGAGAGCAGCAATGGCCAATACTTGCAGCGCATGCGTCGATTCGGCAACAGTTTGGATCTTCATACTTGGTAGCGTTGCGATGAAGGTTTGGTATGAGGGTCTTGTTGCGGCGTGAAACATGCTAAGGAGAAGATTAGAGCGGAGCAGCTATCAAGTAACGACTAGGAAGTAAGAAAGCGCCCGCAGATCGCCCCTTGCTGCAATCTCCCAAAATCATCTTACCCGTGCGGTTTGCTAGCGCAAATTTTCGCTTCAAAGTTTGTACCAAAACCCTTGAGATTTCTTGAAGAGGAAAGGGCCGCAGAGCGGCTGGTGCCAGTGATTCAAGCTGGGGAAATGGGGTTAGGACTAGTGGCAGGATGCGACGACAGGGAGCTGGGGTGGCTAGATGCCCTTGCTTGTGAAGATTGATTTGAGGCTTTCACGGAGCCAAAACCTTATCTCTTCCATGTATCGCATCTCGGAGGGTTTCTAAGGTAGCTCGGAGGATTTCTAAGGCAGCCCGGAGGGTCTCCAAGGTAGCTCGGAGGGTTCCCAAAGTAGCTCGGAGGGTTTCCAAGGTAGGTTCTCTCTTGGCTACAGCAGATCTTTTGGAAGGAGAAAGATCCTTGCAACGTTTAGACCTGAAACATGCAAGTGATCGTCATCCTGAATGTAGGTTGCATCACAGACTGTAGGATCTATCGGCTACCCATCCTTGCACGCGTTAACCTTTTGCTTCCGAGTGAGGGAGGTGTACTGGAAGCTGGCCTATCTCTGTCCCAACAACCGCACTGTGCCGTGCCACTCACCTAATTGGAAGATTATTGAAAGGATGTGGGGCTACAAGATTGCGAACCTAATCGGCGTGTAAGCAGTGTTAGATCAGATGGGCTTCAGCACGTCTTGGCGTCTAGAGATACTGACAAAATGTGTTCGAGTGTACTCCCATTCAAATTTCAGGAATTATTCTTTGCGCCTACATCTGAAACTGCCCATTGCAGCGGTTCATCCCCCTACAATCCATTCATATGCTCGCTATCAACTCGACAAACAAAATGGCCCTGGCTTTAGGAGCACTTTGGTATATTACCCTCGCATTCTGATTGTTCCACCGATAATAAAAACCCCTAACTCTGGTTTTTAGGGCTTGGGACGCCTACGAGAAAGCTCTTTCATTATACTTCTCGAAGAAGTACAAAACGATCGCCCTACCAAAGGTACTCACATATTCCTCTACCGATGTGAGCATCATAGTTCCAACAATCGACACTGAGTCAACCTTTACCGAATGCGTGCGTCTCTGGCTCAAGAGTAATCCCCGCGAGATCATCATTGTCACTGTACCGCGATGCAAGGCCCACGTTGAGCAGCTAGTTATGCCGATACACGAATTCAAGGACAAGATCACCATCCTGACTGCGCCTCTTGCCAACAAGCGCCATCAACTGATGGTCGGGGCCAAGGCTGCCAGTGGCAAGATACACGCTTTGGTCGATGACGATGCCTACTGGCCCGCTGACACTGTGATTCCACACCTCCTGGCTCCCTTCGAGGATGACAGGGTTGGTGCGGCTGCGGGTCTTCAAAGGTCAGTCTACAATGTTCAGTCTCCGTAGGTGGAGGTCTCCCCTCCGAGTTGATGCTCCCTCACTCCAGAGAAAAACAATGCTATCCATTATCACTACTGATGGAATGGAAGTGCCGAGATCCCACTAGAGCGCCAAGATTCCAATGTAATCACAATCTGGGAAGCAGCTGCTGCTCTCGATATGTTCAATATGAAAACACTTCAGGCCATGCGCTTCGCAGCGGATGGAGGCTGCTGGGCCCTAGTTGGACGCACGCTGTTCGTTCGTGCTACTATTCTCCAAGACCAGCAGTTCGTAGATGCCTTTACGCATCAGCTCATTGGCCAGAGGATCGTAAACGGAGCGGATGACGTCTTTGTGACCGAGTGGGTATTCGACCATGGTTGGAAGGTCTCCATTCAAAATTCACCCGAGTCTGAAATCACGACCAACGTCAAGCAAGATCACAAGTTTGCGTGGCAGGTACTTCGTTGGGAGAGGGGGAACATTCGCTCTTTCCTTGCCCGTATCTTTGTGTACCCTGGCTATCGGGTAATGATGCGGTAAAACCTGCCCTCTCTCGGTTCTGATCTACCTCAAGTGGTTATTTGATATACGAACTAACCACAGCTGACAGGAGACACCCATACTCGACCCGAAAGATGGTCGAACGCCTCGCCCGACCTCTCTGGGCCTCCTTGTACGTCGTGGTTTGGCTGCAGACGCTACGAACTGCACCTTGGCTTGCGTGAGTAAAACCTCGAATCATTTATCTCCTTCATATCGTTGTCGTTTGCAAGGTCTCTGACAGCTTAAAAAATAGGATGGCTTACGTGCTCTGGATGATGTTCGGATGGGGTGGATGGGTCTCAGGATACGGAGCATTCCTCCAAAGATACCCATATTGCATACGCACAATCTGGGCACTGTTCCTCATGGACAACTTTGCTCCTATCGTCGACATATACGCGTACTTCACTATGAACAACGACAGTTGGTTGACTAGAGCAGCTGCATAGGGCATCAAGGAACAGGACGAGACTGAGACCGAGAAGAATAACGGTGTGGGCAAGGTCCTCAGCACGTTCAAATTTTAAATCGGCCAACATCGATACATAAAGTCTCTTGCTAGATGCACTGTTACCTGAACAATGAACCTTCTTGATTATGAATCATGGCATATATCCTGACAGAAATCTGACGCAGTCCTGCAGTTTGTATCTCGCCTTGGTGAGCGACTTAAAGTAGGATCGTTGCCTAATTCAACCGGCTCGTGCCCTCAGTATCTCCGTGCCTAACAGCTAGGTTTAGCTGACCTATTGAAATTTGAGAGGGAATGACTGACGGGAAAGATCGAAGAGCTCTTGCAGGCGTGATTCTTGTACTGTTCTAGCTGTAATTCGACGGTTGCGGGCAAAAGGTCAAGTGGCTGATAGTAAGACTTAGCGTCGGGAAAATTTACGACCTAGGAGGCGACAGATATGGGAAATAAGAAGTCGAAACTCTTCTAAGTCCACGCAGAAGAGCCTCTGCGTCAAGGAACATAATCCAAAACTATTTTTGCTGAGAACCGATTTGAATTACGAATTGTAGACTAAGAATGACAGGGGAACTATCTCGCTTTGCAATCTAAATACAGTGATCCTGATGATAATATGTTGAAATCCTCGAGATAGTCCCTGTTGAAGGCAACTAGCAGGTAACAGGGACACCTATGACAAAACGCGAGGGGAAGCGCATTGGCTGTGGCTTCAGAAAGGAATCCCCTTTCCATCATTGGCGAACATGATTCCTGTAGCCTCTCGATCCTCAGAATAGCTTATGTTCCAAAGACATATCCGATTCGGGTTCCAGACCGACACAGGCACGGAAGATATTGGTCAAGGCCGCTCGCTGCTTGGCCAATGCATTGACGACCGGAGTACCTGGTGGGGTCAATGGAGCCTTGAGCATGTAGCTGAGGATGCTAAGGACACTGTGAAATCCCTGATACGCTGTTGCAGACCCGTCATTTGAGCTTGCTTTCCACTGAATTCTCGTCATAACTTCAGTGATTAAGACGAGATCGATGATCAGAGGCGAGGCAAGGAGTGAGTCCTCGCACACATTGAAGATTCTGTGGTGATCAGTGATGGAGTAAGACAGACATGGGATCAACCTACGAAATTGTCTGGTGACCGCCCAGGAAAATCTCAGCGTAGTATTCATCGAGGGCACGCTTGTTGTCGCCCACTGCCGGCATGTACTTGATGACAACAGTGTGATCAGGGTGCTCCCCGTCCTTGTAGAGCACATTGTTCGCGTCGACCATATCATCCACCACGTTCGATTTCGAAATTTCCTTAGACCGAAACTGCTTCTGCTCGCTCAAGTTCTTGCCGTCGTTGTTACCTAGATGGTTGTAGCTTGCTATAGAAGTAACCTTGATCCCTGCATTAATTAAGAACTCCACTAAAGCGGATTTCATCTTTGTTTGCCCTGACTTGAAGTCATCACCCCCAATAAAAGCGCCGTATCTTTCGGCAAGGTCAATCGCACCCGGAACGAACGTATTCTGAGGCGAGCCGTTGATAAATGGGGCGTTCTCAAGGATGCAGGCCACTGCGAAGATCGTCGAGGGCGCAATCTCGGCTTGCCCCTCTTCAATGGCCTTCAACAGATTGTCCGCTGTGTCGTTTACCCCCGCAACCACGTCAGCGAAGCGTTCGGTATTGGCGGTCCACTGGACTATGACTTTATCGAGGTTATTGACACGCTTGAAATCCCTTTGAGAGATTAGAATGTTTTCCCGCCAAGTTTGTTGGGTAATGCTCACCGAATATCCTGACGAATATGATCAACATGGCCCATACAGGCGACACTGCCATTGATAATGTTGTCTGCTCGATCGCCTTGATTGGAGGCAATGAAGTCGGGATAATAGATGCTGGGAAGTGGGGTCATCGTGGCCATTTCCTTCTTGACTTGCATTTTCAAGGTGGGTTCAAGCACAGCTGCCCGGTCCATGGCATCAGAAAGATTCAGGCTACTAATGTCCCATCCACCGATAACAAGGTCGTTTGGGTGGACCATTGGCAGAACATTGTGGAATGGAATATTCACGTCTCGTTGAGTCTTCGCATCGGTACCGAGCTTCATGGTGGAGCCCATAACGACGGATCCATAGTAATTAGCATTCCTTGGGCCCTCGCGTGTGTCCCATACCAGTCCACGACGGTTAGCAATGATTCCAGCAGTTACAGTCGTGCCGTTATTGCCGCCCCAACCAACGAGCATAACGCCGACCTTTGGAACATTGCGATCGAATTTGAAGTCATACTGGGTTTCCCGAGGAGTAACAGTGTAGTCTCCGGTATCATCTCTCGTAACGCTTGTAGTGCGGTACGTGTACTTGGTTAGAACTTCCTTTTCCGTGTACACCACGTTAGGTGACTTGACTGTAAAAAGCTCTTTCCTGAAAGATGATGAACCTTCGTGGTCATTGCCAACGTTTCCAGCCCGATCGGAGGAAGATTTGTCAATCTCTGCATGCGGAGCCATCTTTGTTGATTGATAGCCTTCGTCGATGGATGTTTATAAAGTAAACGTCCAGTCCGCTGTACTCCTCGGTGGAATATCACGGTGGTATGTTGCGTGCGGATTATGAACACTATACATTGTCAGCGACTTGCAGTCTTCATGGGTTCAGTCCGGGAGACCTGCCTACGATTTTCGAAGATCGGAAACCGGCTCTACTGCTTGAATGATTGTAGTCTGAAAGACCGATCTAATATATAGATGGAATTAAAAAACTCTGAGGAGGGATTCGTCACACCTGCTTCTTGTTCCAAATGAATTGTATCCAAGAGTGGTTGATAGTCCGTCGTAATGGACTGCAATCCAATACAGGATACACGTGAGCCCCGATAGTTCTCCAGCGCCACACATACATGACTAGCTTGATAGAACCGGCGGGTTAAGATCCTGCATAGTTGAACCCATTTACATTGTGCCGGTCCATTTTGGCCTCAGACAAGTGCAACGGATCAAACGAGCGCAAGGCGATCGGTTGGCGTGTTCGGCAAGCCGTATGAATCCTGAGCTACACTTAAACAGCAGGTGCGTGTTTCTAGCGCGGCAGGGATTGCAAGACCCTTAAGCGATCCTATCTTACCCAAAAACTGACCCCTGCTCCCAAGATCCGTTTCTTACGCGACGCTGAAGATACATGCATCATGCAGGCGCACTGATGGATTCGGAATCGTCCCCGCCCGGATCCGTAGTCTGATTAGATCGGTGGGTTTATCACCCTGTCATTAGGCTGCATATGCAAGCGCATCCTATTGCGCCGATGCAGTTTGTATACGCATCGTTAAGGACCCCTTGGCTACTTTCTTCGCCGATACCGTTGAGCCGTTACCGCTGTGGGTCCATCGGAGACCACGCCCTGCAGTGTGGCGTTTCCGATGGCGATTGAAACCCTGGGCCAGTTGGTGAAGACGTGAAGCTGTAGCACTTGTCTGAGACAAATGCGCGAAATCACCCCAAAAGCTAATACTTAAGAAGTGGGTATAAACCAAAAGAAATACGTACAAATTTTAAAAGGACGCATGTCTTGTCCCAAGTCTTTAAGGCATATACCATTTTTGTCTTCTTGTTGTCTGTCCAGTCTGCAACACAATGCCCCACGCGATAGAGGGCCTCGAGCCCGTCGCCATCATTGGCATGGCCTGTAGGTTCCCAGGCGGAGCCAATAGCCCCGAAGAACTGTGGCAGTTTCTCGCGGATGGAAGGTCCGCATGGTCAGAAATACCGTCCGACCGATACACGTGGAGGTCTTTCCACCATCCACATCCTGACGCCGAAGCTGCACACAATCAAACAGGCGGTGGCTACATAGACCGCGACCTCGCCGCCTTCGATGCCGCCTTTTTCGGCATCCCCGCTGCAGAAGCAAATGGCCTCGATCCCCAGCAGAGAATCCACTTGGAGACGGCTTATGAGGCGCTGGAGAACGCCGGTCTGCCGCTACACAGTGTGAGTGGCTCGAAGACGTCGGTGCATGTAGCGACCGTGAGCCGTGACTACGACCGTAACGCCTATCGAGATCCACAGGACCTTGCGAAGTATCAACTTACAGGTTGTGGAGAGGCAATCACCTCTGGACGGGTTTCGTATACGTACGACTTGAGAGGTCCCTGTTTTTCGCTGGATACGGGCTGCTCGGGCAGCTTGGTGGGGCTCCATCTCGCCGTGCAGGGGCTACGGTCGAGGGAGACGGATATGGCACTTGTGGGAGGTACGAACCTGCTGCTTTCGCCGGATATGACGATCGCGATGAGCAAGCTACAGTAAGTCGAGCGTTCGATCCAAACTCCACATCCCAATCGGCTGACCGAATTGCAGTATGCTGAACGACGACGGCAAATGCTACGCATTCGATAGCCGCGGCAAAGGGTATGCACGATCCGAAGGCGTGTCCACTATTGTTCTCAAGCGGTTGTCCGATGCCGTGAAAGATGGAGATCCTATTCGCGCCATCGTCCGAAATACTGGAATCAACCAAGACGGCAAGACAAATGGAATTATGCTCCCCAACTCACAGGCACAAGAGGACCTCATGCGATCGTTACACTCGGATGCTGGACTGGACCCGGGCCTGACTGCATACGTCGAGGCTCATGGCACAGGTACGCAAGCTGGAGATAATGCCGAGATCAACTCGATTTCCAAAGTGTTTTGCAACGGCGTCAAGAGGAGCCAGCCACTGTTTGTCGGGTCAATCAAGGCCAATCTGGGGCACTGCGAGAGTGCGAGCGGCTTAGCAGGGCTCATAAAGACGGTTCTGGCGCTCGAAAAGGGTGCAATTCCAGCTACACCAGGTGTGCTAAAAATGAAGGAGGGGCTCGATCTAAAGAGAAGGAACATTCGGATTCCCCAACAGCTAGAAGAGTGGCCAGCTCTGGGTGTGCGAAGGGCGGCCATCAACTCGTTCGGCTACGGTGGAACAAATGTAGCAGCCATCTTGGACAGCTATCAGCCCGCTGACGGAAGCAATGGCATCAATGATATCAATGGTATCAATGATATCAATGGTATCAATGATATCAATGGTATCAATGATATCAATGGTATCAAAGAGACCAACGGTATCAACGGAACCAACGGTATCAACGGAACCAACGGTATCAACGGAACCAATGGTGTCAGCGAAGCTAATGGCGAAGGGACCCTCTTTGTCGTCTCCGCAAAGTCTTCCAAGTCCTTGAAGGGCAACCTCGAAAATCTCAAGCGATGGATTGGCTCCCAACCTCATGTCTCCTCAGACAAGCTCCGGCAACTCGCCTACACCCTCGCAGCCCGGCGCTCAAACTTCCCCCTTCGCACAAGCTTCCTTGCCAGCACACAAGAAGGCTTTCTGGCCGCTGCCTCGAATGCAGCTGGCAGAATACCTGAAAAAGCGACCAGCAAGCCCAAACTCACCTTGGTCTTCACTGGTCAGGGTGCGCAGTGGTACGCAATGGGCCGTGAGCTTCTACACACACCCTCAAGCTTCGCAAAGTCGATTAGGGAATCAGAAAGGATACTTAAAAGTCTGGGCGCTGAGTGGAACTTGATCGAGGAGTTGAAACGCGGCCAGGACACGTCTCGTATCAATGAGAGTGAAATATCACAGCCTGCCACAACAGCGTTGCAAATCGCGTTGGTCGATCTACTAGACAATTTCTCGGTTCGTCCAGATTCTGTGATCGGACATTCTAGTGGCGAGATTGCGGCTGCATATGCAGTCGGCGCGCTGTCGCATGCTGCGGCTTTGTGCGCCTCGTTCCATCGCAGCAAAGTCTCTCAGTTGGTGCAACAGGTATTCAGCACACCTGGTGGCATGCTAGTCACTACCCTGAGTGAAGCCGATGCGTACCACTACATCGAACGTGTTGGAAAGAACCGATTATCGCTTGCTTGCATCAACAGTCCGAGCAGCACGACCATCTCCGGCGACGAGGATGCACTCGAGGAGATGAAATCTATGCTAGAAGGCAAAAGCATCATGGCTAAGCGTCTTGCGGTTGACGTGGCATATCATTCGCATCACATGAAGGCTGTGGCAGATCAGTATCTCAGTGCGCTCCACGATTTGGAAAACTCCGAGGCTCGTGACGATATCCAGCTCTTCTCATCTGTGACCGGTCAGCTGAAGACTTCTGGCTTCGGTCCTGATTACTGGGTGCAGAATCTCGTCTCAACTGTGCGTTTTTCAGATGCCTTGAAGGCTTCCTGTGAGCAGCTACGCAATGCGTCGGGCTCGAGAGTCACACCTCACGTATACCTGGAAGTTGGGCCGCATTCGGCACTCGCAGGACCAGCGAAGCAAACCCTGACTTCGGGACAGAACGAAGTCGAGTTCAAATACGTATCCGCTCTTGTCCGTGACAAGAATGCATACACAACCGTACTCAACCTTGCTGGCAAACTTTTTGAGTTCGAGCTGAACATTGACATTGAGGCGGTAAATGACATGAAAGGTGGCGCAAAGTCACGCAATATGCTCCTAGATCTGCCTTCCTACGCATGGGACTACTCAAAACGATACTGGCACGAATCGCGCCTGAGCAAGGAATACCGTTTCCGAAAGTATCCGTACCATGACCTACTAGGCTTGAGGCTGATTGGCAGCACGCCACTGGAGCCACTCTGGAGGAATATCCTTAGCGTCGATTCACAGCCCTGGCTCTCGGATCATGTCATTGATGGTTTCGCCATTCTTCCTGGCTCTAGTTTCGTCACTATGGCCATGGAAGCAGCGCGTCAGCTAAGCGACCAACAAGGTGCGCCCAAGATCAAGCGGTTTCACTTGAGGAAAGTGAACTATTTTAAGGCCATCATGATTCCTGAATCGCCCGGAAAGGTCGAGGTTATGATAAGCCTTTCAGCACCAAGCTCCAGCGTCGCCAATTCACAAGAGTCGTCGGAGTGGGAGAGTTTTCGGATCACGTCTTCGGCCGACGCGGGCACATGGAGTCTGAACTGTGTGGGGCAGATTCGTCTCGAATACCAGTCTGTACTGAACGAGGTTGACGGAGGCCGTGAAGAATTGCAAGCACTGTCCAATCTGCGCGAGCGCCTTTCCCAGACTGACGGAGCCTGTACCCAGACGATCGAGCACATTGCGCTGTACCAGGAAATGCGCCGCAATGGCATCGACTACGGCACTAACTTTGCGACCATCAAAGAGCTACGAGTAGGCGAATGTCAGGCGCTCGGGAAAGTCGTGATCCCCGATGTGGCACAATGCATGCCATCTGGGTACCAACAGCCTCACACTATCCACCCAGCAACATTTGACGCTCTGATGCACATTGTTCTACCTTTGTACTTTCGACACTGCACTGTTGGCACGGCTATGCTGACTTCCATCGAGGAAATTACTGTTACGGTGAGGCGCCCCAGGGTCCCTTGAGGTACATGATGTACGTGAGACATGAGCTTATCAACAACTTCTAGGCCGATATGACGACACTGCCGGGCAGCCATCTCGATGTATGTGCTGCCCTCTCTCCTCTGGGGCCCCGCTCCGGCACGGTCGACGTCGTCGCATTCCAGAGAGACAGTGCGTCGCCCTACTATACGTAATGCTTGTGAGACATATGCTTATATTATTTCGACTTGTAGGTAACGAAGTCACTCCAGTCGTCATCCTAAGTGGTCAAAGGTTCCAGGGCATCGCAACCAGCGCGGCATCCGCGCCGGCAACATACGTCTCACGTCCGTTGCACAATGTCCATGAGCCGCGCAAGATGACCATCGCAACGCCCGGAGTAGTGAACAGCCTGTGCTTTATCGAGGATGAAGCTGCCAGAGATTCTCTGCAGCCGGACGAGGTTGAGATCAAGGCTCTGGCATTCGCCCTAAATGCAGCCGATGTCGACGTAATCCTTGGTCGAGGTGGTGACTCTACCAGCATTGGAGAGTGCGCCGGTATCGTCACTGCGATAGGGTCTGATTCGATGCATTCTTTCCAAATTGGTGAGCGGGTCTGCGCTTGGAACACCAGAGTTGCTTTTGCGAGTAGGTAAGTTAGATGAACACTCGACATTCCTACTTCTTTGTAAAGAGTGGTGGCTGACTGCTGCTAGGACACGAGTCAAGAGCTCCTTTGTGGAGAAGATTCCGAACTCATGGTCATTCAAGTTGGCCGCAGCTCTTCCGCAGAATATGTCGCTCGCTTATCACGGCTTGCGTTACTGCGCCCGGGCTGAATCCGGCCAGACTGTATTAATCAACAACGCGGGTGATGCGCTCGGACAGGCTGTGGCTCTTGTGGCGAATTTGCTTGGCCTACGGGTCCTGGCAACAGTCAAGACGAAAGCAGAAAAAGATGCCTTGGAGACTTTTAGCGGTATGCGCTCAGCTCAAATTCTTTATTCGAAGGATGCTGCACTTTCAAAAGCTTTGCTGCGCTTGACCAAAGGTGCAGGTGTTGACGTAGTGTTCAACACCTCATCAACAGCTTTCCCCGCCGACCTGGTCGCGTCAGTCAAGGCCTTCGGCTCAGTCATTGATGTTCACCAGCAGTCTGTTTCCTTCTCATTCGCACATCGCGCCGTCAAATACGCCTCCTTCGATGCGAGTCAGCTTCTCAGACATCTTCCCTCCATAGCAAGCTCGGCCTTCAAGACTGTTCTATCGCTATTACGGGATGGCGACTTTGATGGCTTGATGCCTATCATTGCAGTACCCATATCCGATGTTGCATCGGCGTTCAAGGCTGTGCAAGGCCAAAAGAACGTCGGTAAAACGGTGTTACTAGCGGAAGAGGACGCGTTCGTCAATGTAAAGGAAGCTGACGCCCCCCTTGCGCATGTCGAACGCATCATCCGAGCTATCAAAGAGCTCTCTGTGTCACAAGACGAAAAGGAAGCCTTGCTCGCCCTGATCGAACATCCTAATGCCGCAGGGACAATTGCAACGTCTACCGCTACGAGCAACAGTGCTTCCTCATCAACGTTAAACAGGAGACTGAGTGCAGAGCAGCGCCTCGCTGCTGTTTCAAGCATGCAGGAGGCACGAATCATCGTTCTTGAGGAGCAGATCAGGACGATATCTTCCCTTGTATCGGTCAACGTGGAGCAGCTCGACCCTCAAGAACCTCTCGCTGACCTTGGCCTTGACTCTCTGATCGCGATAGAGTTCAAAAACTGGCTCGGACGAAGTTTGGGAGCCGATGTCAGGGTCCATGATATTCTTGATGCTGATGGTCTCGAACCATTGGCGGTTTTGGTGGCAGGAACGTCCAAGTTTGTTCCTGACGGTTTGCCAGAACAGTGCAGCAAGGCTTCGCTACCGATACGCGTTTAACGCGCGTTAGCCGGCACCGGTTAGTATCCAGGATGGGGAAACCTGGAAAAGCGAAGGTCTCGGTACGATCACGCTGAAGAGTATCGCAATTGGTATAGCTGACTAAGGTGCAATGAATTGAACGTCAATCTAAAAGTATTAGTTCTCTGTTATCTTCTACCATAGCGCGCTCTATATAGCTATAGTAAGAGGCTATACACGCGTAGTAAGTCACATACTTGGTGAATGGTAGAAGGGAAGTTTAGCTCTATTACATATTTCATCACGTGCCTTCTTCGTAAACCATACGGCTTGCGATTTTCCTAAGCATTGTGCAACACATCTCGCACTCCTTCCACAAGTCACCCTCCATTATATGAATGGATCGCTTAGGACACAGCGAGCTCATCACATGGGACTTGTGTTCTTCAACCTTGGAGAGAAAATTAGATGGGGACAGGTTCTCGGGGATAATCGCTTACAGATATGAGTTCTGGAGGTGGAACCTCGTAAAGGGGCTCAGGTTCAACAGGGATCGAGTGATCGTATATAGGCTCAGCTTCATCAACGGGCACGGGTACGGCGTGCTCCCGAGAAGAATCAGACTGCGCGTGAGGAGCTGAGTCTCCCGAATAGGCATCGGAAGTAGGTACCGGTTCCTCACAGGGAGCCTCTTTCTCTTCCCGGTCGATGCGCTCTTGCTGCTTCTTATCCCACTTCTCCTTATCTTTTTTTTCTTTAGCCAGCCTTTTCTTCTTCGATGTGGCGGTCTCCTTCTTCGGACGCGGCGGAGGAACATATTCAACCCAGACGCTCCTCGGAGGCTCCGGTGCCAGCGTCTCAGAACCAACGACATCAATGCAGTCCTCATAGCAAGGCTCAGGTTCTGGTGCAGGCATGGCGTCCTCATAGCCAGGCTCAGGTTCTGGCGCAGGAATGGAAACTTCGTAATATGTATCACGCTCTGAGGCAGGGGCTAGAGCTTCCCAGCAAGTCTCGAGTTCTTCAACAGGATCTGGCTCCTCACCGACATCAGGGGCCAGGGGCGGGTCATCGTCGACATAGCCATACTGGGCAAGCGCAGCCGCCTCTACTTCTTCCTCTACAAGTCGTGCTTGCTCCTTCTCCTCCCTCATTTTCTTTTCCAGCCTCTTCCTCTGTCCCTTGCTTAAGCCAGCAAACGGGTCTGTGCCGGCAACAATCTCCTCTGAGACTAGCAGCGCACGTGGAGACTCATCCACTTCGTCGGCAATATTACCCTTCCCCGCCAGTGCTTGGGTCAACTTCTCGCTCAAGAGCTTAACCACGTGGCGCACAACATAATCATTCAGCTTACTTTTCTTACACAGACTTGCACAGAAGGCATCGTCTGCAAACACGGTGTGGTCCTTCTCGAAAGCCTTTTGGGTCTTGTCTTTCAGGTATGCTTGGAGCCAGTCACTGGGCTCGGTCTTCTTCGGCAATTCGCTCCTGATGATATCGAGCATTGTCTTCAGATCCATGGAAGCACTATGCTCTTCGATCTGTTGCCTTGCCAATTGCTCCAGTCTATCCAGCGTATGGGTCACCGACACCCTGTATACCAAAAGCGCTTGTTTTAAGGCGAGCTGCGGTTGCTGTGCGATATCACCGATCTTCGACTTAAGCGTCTGATAAGCGCCTGTGTAAAGGTAATGAACAAGTATATGTCCCGTATCCGCACTTATCGTAGGCAAGCTGATCTCTCCGCCAGGCGGAATCGTCGACCAATTTGTGGATTTGAGAAGATGCCACGGAACGTAGTAGGTAACTGGCACTGGGCCGACATTGATCGTGACGGGACTGCTGGCGTAGGGACTAAACGATTGACAATTAGCACGGGTCAGTTAAGCCCTGTTCAACACGTCGGGTTAGCTTACGACAGAGGATTCGGTTCCGCTTGAGGCTTCGGAATTGCTGTAGCTTCTGGTTCTGCTGTCGAAGGTTCAGGATTGGCCGTAGGTGCAACCTTCTCAATAGCTTCGTCCCCTTCTGCGGCGCGACTCGGCTTTTAGGTAGCTTTCTTTAGCGTTGACATCCTTGAAGATCATTCGGACGCTATCGCGTCTGCTGGATGACTAACCTTCTTGTTCTTCATCTTTGCCATCGTTAAAACTGTCCTAAAGTTCGATGCGGGTTTGTAGGGAAACGTTCGCTACGACAACAGATCGAGAATGAATAAAGGATTATCGAGTACTCCATACGCCTTATTTCCAAAACATTATGGGCCACGATCGTCTACTACCCCGCCAACATTTGGCCAATCAGCATCCACCACGATACTTGTACCACAATACAGGCGTTATCTCCCACGTTCAGGATATCAACAAAATTCCATCCCTGATCCCATGTATTTCTAACAACTATAGACCCGCGACGTGGAACATGACTGTAGACGCAGTAAGAATAGTTACGTTCTCACTATTCGTAATAATGAACAATTTCTCGCCCCCAAGTGAGATTGGCACCCATTTCGAAGAGCTTCGGACGACCCCTCCAGCCTTGTTGTCTCTTGTGATGCCGAACACTATATAGTTGTCCTTTCTGACGGTCACATTCAGAAGTCGACTTGCTGTATGCACTTCACATTATGCAGCTGTAGCCATTTCTTCATCGACAACATCAGCTGGTGCATCCTGAACTCGTATTCATCGCGCTTAGCTCCACCTCTCACCTATGGTCCGATATCGAGGTCGAGTCGTACTTATAGATCTGAGATCGAGATAATATAAGTGAAGTTAATGTATCTAGGGTACAACAACGAAGCCCTGCATGTGTACTGTGCGTGGTCGCAGAGAACAAACTAAAGCATTATTGGAAAGAGGTCGCATCTGAGAACTTGACTGACAGTGTGACGAGGTTGGATAACAATGGTATCATCGGAAGAATGTGTACTGGACTAGCACCGATCTTTGTGCCTGATCAAATACCCTCTCTAGTTGAAGCGTAGTCCTCAACTCACACATCGCGCGAAAGCAATCCGTTACAGGGCTTCATTAGACATTTCGCGGGGAATTCCTGTTTCACTTGCTCACAATCGATTTCAAACGACTACCAGCTCGCCTTCGAAATCCAACATGGACTGAGCATCCGGATGAATTGGGATATCTTCAAAGGGGCCGGCCAGGGAATCTGCAGGTTTACTGAAGATGACAGGATAAGTTGGAATGGTGATCTGTACCGCTCCCCATCAGCAATTTAATTCATCTTGAGATTGGCATAATTCAGTCAGTATAGGAAGGTATGCGAACGTACATTGCTCTCGGTTGCATGTAGCCGATAATTGACTCCCACGCATTGCACAATCGGTGTTTGCTCGAGCGAACCCTCTAGCTATATCAGATCATTAGTTATCTGCAAAACGATTGCAGCGCATTGCGCAACAGAAAAGGTTGCAGGTACGCACAGTTCCCACCACTATAGCATCTTCCCCTGTCGCCGAAAATCCGCCATCAAGACTTCCTGAAACACGTCGAACTTCGAAATTCCCTTTTGTGGCATTCAGCAGCTCTCCGTAATATACGTGATCACCCTGTCGAAATCTCACTAAAGCCCCAAAATTCATGACAACTCGATTGTACTCTTGAAATTTGGGTGAATTTCGTATATTATAAGAATCGTTGCCAAAAAAAAAAGGGAAGTAACGAACACGTAGTTACTAGGCTATGATACCCGGGCTGCTTATAATAAGGCTCTGTGGGGGTTTTCGTGCGGGCGGCCCACGGGCACCCACGGGCGCCTCCCTATTGTCCTCCACGGCTCCGGGATCTACACATGTTACAGGCGGGTTCGTTGTGTCTTAAGCCCCCCACATGTGGGATGGTACCCGGCCCTGACTGGTATGTGGGGTTAGGCTAGCGTTGACATTCGTAGAAGACTTAGATCGCGAAAAGGTTTAGTTTGGTAAACACAGAACGCGTGCCATACAAATTCTATGGGTGGAATTCGTACTCGGCGGCTGCAAGGATAGTCGCCCAAAAACCGGGGATTTTAAACTGACAAGTTGATTGAAAATTGATGAAACACGCATATGTGAGTTTAAGGAGTCTAAGCAGCTATTGGAATTTGCTTTGCCTCCGCTTGGACATCGTAATCCCATACGTAGTCATTCGTTGACTCTTCGTGCGTATCTTTACTCTTCCACCTAGCCACATTGCGACGGCCGCTGTCCCTCACATCTGCAGTTCTTGGCATCCGCAAGGTCTGGTATGCTTTGGCGGCGGCGTTGACTTGTGATTTGGATGTGACACGAGAGAGGATTTCAGCAATGGCACCACCATCTTCGATGGCCATGGCTGCGCCTTGAGATGCAGACGGTAAGCAGGCATGGGCTGCATCGCCGAGTAGGACTATCTTTCCGCCAGGCAGTGTCTCATTATCCATAGGCTCCAGGTCGCACAATTTCCACTCCAAAGTCTCCTTGGGGAGACGGCTCAAAATCTTGACAACGCGTGGATCCCAGTCCTTGAACTCGTTTTTCACAATTGAAGAATCGATTTTGACAACGTATGTGTCACCTTTCGTCTGCACAGCTGGCTGAGTGGAAACAAAGTTGTAGAACTCTCCTTGACGGACCGGATACGCGACGATAAAGTGAGTCCCACCTACCCTACATGTATAATCTTAGCTTCTGAATGAATAGGACTTTTACAGAAAGTCTCATACCACGCGTAGCAACTTTGATCCTTGAAATCAATCAAGGGAAGCAATTCAGCATCTTGAAGCAGATTACATGGAATCAATGCCCTGAACGCCGAATTTCCAATAAAATTGGGCTCGTCAACGAAACCCTTCATAGCGGATCTTGCGCGGGATCGATAGCCTAGATTCGCGGCCCGTCAGCACTACGAAGGGATAGATAATGCAGGACAGACTCGCCATCTCCACATACGATTACATCAGCTTGCATCACAGTGCCGTCCCTTAGTGTCACACTTGGTGTGTGTCCATCAAACTGCTCGACTGGTCGACCCATCTTGATATCAATGTCGAGCTCCCGCGCTCTTGCGAGCAAGCATTCGTGCAAATCACCACGATGAATCATCCAGGTCGGAGAGCCGTACTCTTTCTCAGAATCCGGGTAGAGCTTCTCCGTGAGTTGCTTCCCGTCTCGATCATGGAAGCGGACCCGCTTCAGTGGCGCTCCAACTTTCTCCAAGCGCTCACGCATACCTGGCATGCCGAGCAGTACACGTGTGCAATTTGAAGAAATCATGAGTCCAGCACGAATCTATGGTTCTGATTCAGCCTACTGTTGCAAGGTTGGGCGAATCGTACTTACGTATGTGAACTCCTCGGCGGCTTCTAGAACGGTGACTTTCAATCCTTTCTCTCGACAAGCAACGGCGGCGGTCAAGCCGCCGATGCCTGCACCCACTATCATGACATGGAGGTCTGAGGGATCGTTGATTAGATCATCCGAAGATCTGTCTGTATTGCTTATTTGAGCCATATCAGATCTCTACCTATACGTAAACGAGGACTTGGATGCTGTGAGGTTGTAGAAGATATGTGGTGTAGAATGCCTAATTTATATACCTAAGCAGCACGGGTCGATTCGACTAGCGCGGCTTTTCCGATCGGCAACCTTCGATAAATTATATGCTTCCTGAGTCTGCAAATAGTGATAATGGAAAGTTACAAATATCTCCAACAAATAAGATCGAACATTCAATTCAATATACTATTCTCAGTGTGATCTACTATCATACAAGAGCTCAATTGATACCCTGAGTGATCTTAGTGGAGGCATCTGTTGTACCGCTGCTCTCGGAAATCCACCACATCTATCCGATCCCCACATTGCGTGCTATCCAAGCTTGGAATAAAATCATCCTGTGAACTAGATCGCTTCTGCATGCCGAAGTGCGCTTTGACAACGAGTGAATTTTGTTTATGGGCTTGGACGGAGCGCGACATCGCATCTCGATTCGCATACGACCGACATAAGCCGGGCCTCACCAAGACTAGAGCACAATGCATGGCTGTCACACGACTGACAACCTCCTACTTGCGCATCACTCATCGAGAGAATCCTCGTCTCCTCTCGAATGATATCAGAAGGACTTATCCCACAAGCATCCACAATAGACAGAAACATTTTCTGCGTTCTAAAAAAGCGTCAGCAGCTTGCAATCAGTGCCGCTAGCGCGTGTGGCTCTGGGACGGAAATCCCCCACATGAACAGATTCTATCTAACCGTTTTTCGGCATCCTGATTAAGCGAAAAACTGGGTAATTAGCCATATCGATGACATTGATGCATTACCCGACAAATGCCTAGTCACTTCCTTGTCAACGGCAAAGAAGTTGTCCCATGAGTAGCGGCCACTAGACGAATGGAAATATCCGTTATATGAGGACAAAAGCCGTCATATGAACCGTTTTGTTAACGGAATCCTAGTCGCTGAAAAGTGAAGTATGGCCGCTGATCTTTACTCCCTCCCTTCCCTACCCTGCAGTTTGCCAACTATCGATGATCCGAACAAGCTCGACCTTGCTAGTGTCGCCTTGCAGACTCAGATAATTCTATCCCAACTGAAGCAAGACGACTTCGTTATCGATGCCATTTGGCGTGATAGTTTCGCCCTCACAGGCACGCTTCGCACCTTCTACTCCGCCGCTGCGGTATTCAGAGCCTGGACGGAGACGAGCGCGACGCACCGTCCAAAAACCTTTGCTGTACCCACAGCGCAGCCTAGAGTGACGAGAGTAGCGGCTGCCGTATGGCTCGAGGTACCGTTTACATTTGAGACGACGGGCATACCGGCCACAACATGCAGCGGCTTTGCGTCCATGACCCTACACGACGGGCGTTGGAAGATCTGGGTCTTAAGAACCATCCTAGAAGGGTTGGAAGGAGAGCCGGACGTGGATGTTCTTGAGCCGGTTCCTCGTCCCAATGAAATCACCACCAATGGGGCCACCACGAATGGCCATGGGAAGAACAGCTCTAAGACTCCTGATTATTATGGATGCGCTATCATCGGTGGCGGCCAGGCAGGTTTGAGCGTTGGAGGTAGACTACAAGCACTGGGAGTCTCCTATGTTATCCTGGATAAACACGAAGAGATTGGAGACAATTGGAAGACCAGATATGATTCGACTAAGCGTATGCCCCCATAACAGTACAATGTAAGAACACGTTACTGACCGCTGTAATGGCACAGTTCACACCATTAGAGAGTTTGGTTAGTAGTGGGCTTCGTGACCATACTCGATGGTACCAATCTTAGAGGGAGGCTGCTGATGGCAACTAGCCCACCTTCCTTTCGATCGAACCTTTCCAGAGAATTATCCAGAATTCTTACCGAAGAACGATCTCGCTCGAGGTTATGCAGATTGGGTCAAAAAGTACAGAATCGTTAGTAGCAACTCGACTCGTCTTTGGGGGTTATTGTACTGAGCACTGGACACAGAATGTCAAGTTGTCTAGTTCCCTTCTTTCGGGGAGCTGGGACCCAACTACAGAGCTTTGGACACTCCTGATCTCCAAACACGGCGAGATATCTACCATAACATCGTCCAACATAGTGCTCGCTGTTGGGGTGGGTTCTCAAGTACCCGTCAAGCCAACCTATGAGAATGAGGTAAGAATGCCACCAGCTAGAGGCCACAGTAATCCATAAACACATGCAATTTGTTCATACTTTCAGGCGGATTTCGCGGGCATAGCGCTCCACTCTGCAGATTATAAAAACGCTCATCGGTGGAAAGGGAAACACGGTGTCGTTGTGGGAACTGCGAACACTGGTGAGTGAGATAATGAAGGATACGTCATGCGTCGGCAAACAACTAACAGACCGCATAGCTCACGATGTTGCCGAGGACATGTTGGCTGCAGGGCTCGCGTCTGTAACGATGGTGCAGCGAACTCCAACCTGTAAGTTTACTACACTGCTTATATTCGAGAACTACCAGACTGAGGCACTATAGATGTTGTACCAGCCGAGTACTACGCAGAAACCCTCTCAAGTATATTCAAACCTCTTCTTTGCCATTCTGAAGTCGTCGCTGATAACGCAATGAACAGGGGTCTATAATAGTGATGTACCGACAGAGAGCGCCGATCGCATGTACTTCACGAATCCCGCTGTCCTGGGCAGGATCATGAGCCAGACGACGCTACTGGGCCGAGCCGCACAACAGCCTGAGAGATTTGAATCTCTTGAGCGCGCGGGGTTTCGACTCGATAAGGACGGAGACATGTTCTACTACATTTTCCAGCGATTCGGTGGGCATTATATGGATGTAGGGGCGTCGGCGAAGATCTCCAAGGGGCTGGTACGTTTCTATTTCTACTTCTTCCCCTTTCAGCAAGCAGGCAACTTACACATGATGTGGCTGGGTAGATCAAAATCAAGTCGAACTCACTGCCAGTGGCATGGACAGAAACTGGACTACTCTGCGCAGATGGCTCACAGTTGCGGGCCGATGTCGTAATTTTTGCAACAGGATTCGTGTGCAACCTCAAGTTATCAGTGGCGGAGCTCTTCGGGTCTGAGGTTGCGGCATCGCTAGAAGACGTATGGGGGCTTGACGAGGAGGGCGAAATCAAAGGAGTCTTTAAGCCCTGCGGTCGTAAGTCGCCCTCACCTGCACACTCTAAAACTGGCGACAATTTCACAGAGGAATTACTAACGCCATGAACCATAGATCCAGCATTTTGGTTTCACGGAGGCACGGTAGGTCAGGCAAGATTCTATTCACGCTTTATTGCGTTACAAGTAAAGGCGAGACTCCTGGGGACACCACTACCTATTTATAACACGGAGCGATCGCTCCTTTCCTAGGTATCATCAATAGACAATCATCTTTCATGTAAGATATGCCGACATAAGTTTGATTACTCCATAAAATACGATTGAGGTAGGAATTCAAAACGTATCCATTTCTAGAAGCCATTTAGCCTTCAGCTTCAAAGGAAATCACACTGGAGTTGGCTTTGTACTTCAGAACGCCGCTCGCTCTCGTAATAATCTATGGCTCTATCTATACTATATAATAGAGTATTGGAGAGTTCATAATCCTAGTTTTCATAGGTGCTACTTGATTTGGAGCTGAGGGTGATGGTAATCCTTTTCTATCAAGATAAGAAGAAAGGCTAGATGTAGCTAACGACCTGCATCGGTTCATATCTACGCGCTTTCGACAATCAGTAATCACTAGCCAGTGCTTCCTTGCTAGCATTCAGAATGAGATCGACATGGGCTTGGCTGCGCGGCTTTATCCGGGCCTTGAATGGCGCGTCCTTATGAACATCCCACACGGTATTGAACGTATCGATCGGATGGTCCTTGAGCGCGTGTCAGAATGGATGCAGCAGATTTCATGAACAGATTGACTCACAGGATCTTCGGTTACGTCAAAGCAGTAGAGTAGACACGCCACGGCCAGCCATATATTATTAGCGCCAACATTGTAACCGACGCACACTCTTCGACCTATTCACAAGCATCAGTCAAAGGTCACTAGATGGCAGAGCCGCTGCGGTGTCTTACCGGTGCCAAATGACCAATGGCCCTTGAGCGGGCTGTTTAGGTCGGCGTCCATGAAACGGTCCGGATTGAAGGCGACAGGGTCCTTGTAGTCATTCTCGTTGAGGGCGATGGCGTAAGCATTCCACGCGAATTGGGTGCCGGCGGGAAACCGGTAACCTTCATATTCGTCATCCTTCTCAAGCATATGCGGGACGCCTGTCTGGATGAATGGACGCCACCGCAGTACCTCCTTCACCACTGCATTCATATAAGGTAACCTCTTTCGGTCAGCTAGGGACGGCAAACGCTCCGCATTTTCGCCGCAGACCTCATCGAGGAGACGCCGTGCCTTTTTCACCCATCCCGGATTTGTGGCCATGGCAGCGATGCTCTGGGTGATTGCATTTCGCGAGGTATCGCTACCGGCTTCGAGCAGTGTGCTGAAGACGAAAAGCTTCTCAGTCTCGTCCAGAATGAATTCTTTCTTTTCGGCACCTGCAACTAACTCTGCTGCGAAGCAAGGGCGCGCCGTCCCGCTTTTGAGCTTCTTTTCAAAAGCATCGAATTCTGCCTTGTAAAGACTAAAAGGGCATCAGCTGGTGCTACGCTAAGTTTTCAGGCTTCTACTTACTCTCGGGCCTTGTTGAAGTACTCTTCTGCACCACGTCGCCACCATTGCAGAGGTTTCGGCAGGCTGTGAAGCCATGGAAAGACATCAGGAAGATTCTTGAGAGGATGGAACAGATACTGTCCTAGAATCTCCACCAAGTCGAGGATGTCTTTCAATTGCTTGTCATGGAGGCCAGATCGCCTTCCGAAGACAACGCGTGTGATAACGGAATTAGAGAACCTTTGATTACAGACGTGGAAATTTTCAGGATCCTTGAGGAGGTCGTACAGTAGCTGCTTCACTTCGAGTTCCTGATAGGGCACGAATATCGTCTCTGCACTCCTGCCATTGAGGATCGAGTGCATAATCTTGCGTTGATTCCGCCAACGATTAGTGTGCGGCATCAAAAGCATCCGCGCGCCACCCGACATGATTCCCTGCGTCATTGGGCGTTCAGGCCGCGAGGAGTAGATGGCGGCGCGTTTCTCCATCAGGACATTGACAACACGAGACGAGTTTAGGAAAACGTAGGGCTTTCCTCCAAAGTAGCATGTGTACCTACCATTATGCATTAGAAACATTGTCTGTCGACGATTGGAACAACTCACATCTCTCCATATTTCTTAGCCATTTCTACACCCCACATGCCTGCAGGGAATGGCATACTCAGCGCATTTCCCAGCAGAGGCCAACCGGGAACGACGGGCGGAAGCTTATACTTTCTGTTGAATTGCCAATTGGAGAGGAACTGGTGTGCCACCAGCAGCACAAGCAGGCCCGCAATAATCGTCGCACCAGAGACGGCCATAGCGAATACTTTGGATGCTCTGTTGTTTTCGGGTGAGCGCCAGAAACGAACGAACGAAGAATGAAGACGAAGATGTGTACTTGAATTGTTCAGAGCACACGCACACTCTACGTCTGAATGCTAGTTTAGTAGAGACTGGGGGAAGCGCATAACGTATGCACAATACGAGCAGGCACCGTACCGTGGCCTTTACTTTCGCCAACGCCAAAGCGAAGCCGCCTAGACCTCGGCGGGAGTTTTTAGTTGGTGCGGCGCTTCCCCGTGATGCGGGGGCACGTGGGGGGTAATCTTCCCAGTCATGCGGGGAAACCTTCCCACCTTCCCCCACATATCAGCCGACAAGATTCCTGCTCGAAGCGCATCTTCACGCTGTGACGCCATGGACGATGCTTCACTGCCTCCCCCTGCCCCAGCTGCGAGCTTTCGTTGCGCACAATGTCCCGCCTCCTTTGCGAGACAGGATCGCCTGCGACGTCACGAGCTTTCGCGTGAGTCTAGCCCCTAGTCCTCGTCGATGAGCTGACTTGACTGATCAGACGACGCTTCGAGAGCATGTGTTTGTGAATTCTGCTCTGCTCGCTTTCACCGAAGGTCGGCATAAACCCACCACTCGCTCGAGTCATGACTGGCTGTGGTGCTAATGCGGCCGCAGAGATATCCTGCGCCGGCACTACAAAAATTGCAAGGAGCGAGGATCTCGTCCTATCCCTTCAGTTGGATCAACGGGCCGCCGGCGACACGCGTGTGATCGATGCGCGTCGCACAAGCTTGCTTGCGATTCTGGACGGCCCTGTGGCCCATGTGCAAGTAGGAACCACGCATGTTCTCGCTCGCACAGCCAGGCTGGTCGACGGGAAGCCTCCCCCGACATGATGCCAGTCGTCACAGTCGAGACGGTCCGTCCTACCGATGCAGCTGCACTGAACGGGTCTCGGCCGCTCGTCGCCCGCAATGCGCACTCTAGCAGCTTCTCTCTGCATGCTACGCCTGGGCCGCATCTCTCCGATCTTGTTAGTTCCGACTCGGCTGGTTTTGTAGACATATTCGGCTACTCGAGCACTCCGCCGAAGCCGTTGGTCGAACCGGCTATGCCGTCGTCCTTGCGGGGGGCACATCTAGCAGATCCAGGTCAGTCATGTCCCTTTCCTTTCCTCTGATTGCATGGTCGTCTGACGTGTACAGACTCGCTCCTCGTCTCGGAACGGGCTTCGAACTCTCCTCTGGGTGGCCCGATTGTTTCAACTTACCGTGATATGTCTCCAGTCTTTGGCGTTTTCAGGCAAGATGTGATGCCTGCCAACAACGAAGTGCTCGGGAGAAACATGCGCCTCAATGAGCCCCACGCCCAGAGCGTAGAGTCTGTCAGGATCTACGAACTCGTCACACAGTTGACGAACACGTTCATCACCCTGCCAAAGGGCCATCATGCGAAAGCAAGCTCAAGCAGAATCGATCAGGCAGACACGTTCTTCACCGTATCCAATGTCACTTCCTTCATTCAGACCTACTTCCACCATTTTCATCCCCACTTCACAATCATTCATCGACCGTCGTTCGATTTGAAGACTGTCTCACCAAGGCTTCTAGTCGCAGTCTGCTTAGCAGGGTCTTTGTACATGTCGACTTTGCATGACATAGGACGCGGGAAGAGCTTTCTCGATCTCGCCGAAGAGTTCATCTTCCGTGACACATTGCTAAGACGCGCGGCTCGAGGACGCCCTTTTAACGAGGGCACCAATAATGTTGCCAATGATTCTGCCGTTGCTTGTGCTTCGAGTCTGCAGACTATGCAGGCTGCCTTGATCATCGTGCTGCTACAGAATTGGGAGGGGAATCTGGCGGCACAGCGGAGAGCGCGCAGTGACGGAGTGCAACAGCTGATATCAGTATGTGCTCTTTCTTCTTTTCTTTCCTTGCTCGTCTCCTCTCTTGTCCTTTTACCTTCGTTCTTCTCTTAGATCATATGGCCCAGAGCGAGACATCCTAACCAGTTTATCATGCATAGCTGGCTCGAGCCTCGCGTCTAAATTCCTTCAAAGTCTCCTGGCCCAAGCCGGGTGAATCTCTCGAGAACTTTGATTGGGCTGAATTTGGTCGCCAAGAGGCGTGTACACGGTACAGTCGAATGGCTCTCTTCTCCCAGAACCGTGCATTAACGTGCCTTCGTATAGTACTCTGTACCACCTATACACGTTCGATAGCACGCTATGCATCATCTACAACTACCCGCCCAAGTTCGCGTTGGCGGAAATGGGCGCAAGCCTACCCTGCCCAGGGGAGTTCTTCGAGGCCACGTCGAGAGCAGAATGTCTGCAGAGCGAGGGTTTCGCAGACTATCATGAGCAGCCGTTCTGGTCACTCAAGGAAGTCTATCCTCTGCTGCTAGGCGACGATGTCCCGGCCGATGCGAAATCCCGCCTTGTCCGACTGACGCCCGTCCACCTTTTCATCCTAGTCCACAGTATGCCGCCCTTTGTTTTTGTGCCGCTTCTTCGTTCACACATTGCGCCGGTGGAATAGAACTGACATGGCTAGCTATCCATTGTCTCATCTGGCACTCCAAGCATACCAGCATCCGCAGTCCCGCAACGATCTCGGTCATAGAGCGCGCCATCTCACGCTGGAAGAACTTGTGGGATTGGAGCAAGGGGCGTGTGCCGGCACGATGGTGGCGCAGCTTGGGATTCGTGCAGCATGCCGATGAGTACCGGTGGTTAGCTCAGATCAAGTTGCACGAGGGCGTGTCTGAGGAGGAGCTGGTTTTTGAGGACGACCACAAGCGCGGTGTGCGGCAGTTGCTTGGGCAGTTTCGTGCCGTGCAATCTGCGGATGATGTTGACTTTGATGTATGAACAGATGGCACACTATGTTGGAAGTAGGCTGGACTCGGGAATGGGGGCCTAGCTATGTGGGCGATTTCCGAAACATGTACCGAGCGTTGCAGTGATTCGCCAATGTCCAATGCCTAATTTCGCTCTCACGAGCCAAGAATGAGCGGAGAAGCGTACAGCTTTGAATAGTGATATGTTGCCGGTCAACGGGGGAAGTGGCAGGCAACATCTTCCTTCAGGATCAGCACCCGCGCCCATAGGCGAATCGCATATCTTTTTCAGTTCCCACAGCTCTTCGCCCAAATATAGATGAAAGCGGGAGGAGGTCAGCAATGGGAAGCAGTCAGTGATGAGAGGCTCTGAGCTCCTATACACAGCTTTTGCCGCGCCAATGCGACGGTAGGCAAATTCTGCCCATCGGTTGAGGATACTTTCCATATTTTCCTGGAAGGCGTGCGGAGAGGATGGACCCATTGCCAGGGCGAGACGCTCCTGATGACATATGGATAGCAATGCCCACCCCAGAAGAGAAAGTAGACCGAACGAGCTGATAGTCTCTGGAATTGGATCTCCATTTTTGAGTGCATCGGTGAGCGACGAGAAGTGCCGCCGCCTGGTCAAGTCGCACTCATTTGTGGTAGTTTTCCACTCTTCTGGTGATCGAGCATGCCACGCGGCTTCTGATAAAGGCAGCGGAATGTTCCGTAGCTGATAAGGTACGGTATAATGTGCTTCTGGATGACTTGCCAGTATCGCAGCGCCTAGTACGCATGCCCAAGCACATAGGCGGCTAAACGTCTCAGCTCGATGTCATCGGACCCAATCACAATCAGATACTGAGTATTCACGCTCCATCATGCTCAGTTGGGCTTTTAAAAGTTTGCACGCCCGGTGAAAGTGTATTTTGGCCATTTCAGCTAGCTTCACATCATCGCTAAATGCTCCAAATTGGGCTAATAGCAACAGCGCTTGGGGAGCCCAAGGCTCGAATTGATGCGCTTGATGCTCAACGTGTACAGGAAGACAATGAGTGAGCAGACTGGAAGCCGCGTGACACATACTCTTCGCAAATCCCTTTTCACCCATGTGCAGAGCGCCCATGGCAAGAATGGCAAACACCAATGCTGGATGGCTGTGACGTATGCTGAAAGTAGTGTGATGAATGATAGGCGTGTGAGGGTCGAAGAAGTCAAAGTATGCTATAACGCATCGTAATATCCGTGACCTTCGTGGAAAGTTGACAGACTCCAGGTTGTTCCCATCCTGCAGCTTACGAACGTGCTCTTGGAATTGGTCTAAATCGCCTTCGCTCGTAGAAAGGACATGCGAGTAGCTCGTGTCGGCTCCTTGCCGTCCCGAAAGAAAAGTTGTTGTTTGGCTTGGCACCAATGACGCCGGCGAAGGAGGCGCCATCCCAGTCTGACACGGGACGTCATGGGCAGCTTGCTCTTCCAAAGATAGCGAAGTCGAGAGATCGGGCAGGCAATTATTCAGGCCGGGCAGTAAAAAGTCATCGAGAAACGTCAAATCACCCGATGACATTTCCCGTAAAGAATCCAAAAAGGTCGAAGGTGTTGCTAAACCTAGACCAAGCGCATCGTGAGAGCTGTCGTAGTCGTGGGATTGATTCATTTCAATTTCAACTACTGTCGATGGTTCTCCAGTCGGTGCAAAATTTATAGATAGATCGACTTCAGCAGGCCGATTCGAATAGGGCTGGGTCGTAAGCAAAGCGTCATCCGCTGTCAACTGCTGACCCTGGGGCTGCATCGTGCTCCGGCAGTCGTGTTCTGGTGCCAGGGCTTGATCTATGCGATCGGAGACCCTTTGGTTACTGATAGAAGAATTGTTGTATTAGAAACTTTTTCATCTGAAGAAGTCAAAGGTTTACCTGAAAGAGCTATCCCTGCTCTGATCTGGGGAGTCGTTCTGGCCATCTGTTCGTCTTTCTGCGCGGCCTGAATAAGGCACGTTTCTTACGGTGTCTTGTAGTGCTTGGGCGTGTACGGAGCTGGGGCATTCTTCTTATGGCGACGGAGAACGTCGGAGCGTATAAAACGTGCACTACAGGCATCGCAAGCATTCAATCTCTGGTTATCATCTGTATCAACCACCATCAACGTCTCCGCCCATTCAAAATATTGCTTTCTGAGGAATGGGGAAACACACGCGACAATTGATGGCGTCTAAGATGCTCTGCTCTCGCAAAGCGTTTATGGCAACTGGGACATGTATGGCTTCGGATACGTCTCGGTGAGCATAAGGAGGCTAGTGGTGCAGCTGTTTCGTAAGGTCAGCCTGTCTGTGTCCCGTCTAACGTTGCAGCATTTGTCATTGCTGCCAGCGGTGAACGTGCAATGGGCGCTAATGGCATGCGCACCTGATATTTGCGTTTCCATGCTAGTCTCTCGCATATGTCCCGTGATCACTCTCGGTAATCCCGAGCTTCTCTTGTGGGCTGGCTGTGCTGCTCAGAGATTGCTATCTTGTGGGGGGTTATCGTATGGCTGTCTAGCTGCAATGAATGCGGAGGCGGGTGTGGAGGCGTGTGGGAGGTGGAGGCGAATGCATATGTACATGTAGCGTGACACTGTAAAGGGCAGGATGCGGGGTAATAGCCTTACTGACTGGCACTAAGCTGTGCCATTTCCCCGAAAAGCTGTTGAGTACCAAGGACGCGCATCTAGATGCGATGGTTCAAGTCGTACCCGGCGCCAAACCCTATTAGTCTTGAAGCGCACATTTGAGATATAACCGCCCTCGTTTGTTCCCGGTTTGCAGCATTGGTAGGGTACACGATTTGTGATAATCGGTTTTCGGTCTGGTTGTATACACTTCCTAGTGAGGTACACGCCACGGATGCTGCAGATTGAAATTTGAGGTATCACTATGAACGTATAGGGTTCAAAACCTCGACATATCCCCAATCAGGAACTTTGTGTTATCATCTGAGAACGCAAGTGGCTCCCGGATATACATGTTGGCGTTGGAACACTCCAACACTTGACCACCCAGCCTCTCATCGACCACTTTATCTAAGGCCTTGACCATTAGATCCATTGGCGTGAAATGCTCTGCGGGCACATATTTTTTTGTGATCTCACTGATAGGCGTGTCAACTGGTCCTGGAGCGATTACACTGATCAGTATCGATTCGTCTCTTTCTAGTTTCAGGCCGGTGGACCTGGCCAAACCCACGAGCTACAAGGACAGGTCTGTCAGATGTCTTCACATGCCAATCTCAGTTTTATAGATCAAACTTACTCCACTCTTTGCTACGCTGTAGACGGGAGCAGCAGGAAATGGGTAGAATCCAGCAAGACTGGCCGTCACAACCATACGAGATTCTTGCCCAGGCGTTTTGTCCAATCGCGTGTAATGCCGGAAGAGCTTCAGACCGTACAATACGGAATACAGATTGACGTCCACGACTTTGGTATTCGGTTTGGCCACTTCCTCCTCTGTGACGTGCTCAGGGAGCTGCCAAAAAGATTCCTGCTCTTCAATTCCGGCGTTTGCGATAAACAGATCGATATGTCCCGCCCATGAATATGCTTTTCGGAAGAGGGCGACCTGCGACTCCCAGTTCGAGACATCGCAATGTTGGAATATGCTGTTCTTCCCTAATTCCTTCTCGACTTTCTCGCCATTTTCATCGTTGATATCTGCCAACACAACCCTATAACCTCTCTCAATCAATCTAGCTGCGAAGGCTTTTCCAATTCCACTGGCTGCGCCTGTGACAATAGCGGTTTTGGTTGCGGCCATCTCAAGAGTATTGTTTGTGCAGAATGTAAAGGGATAATGCGCAATGACTTGGTTGATATATTGAGCGTAGGATCTGATATTTGTCTCAGTTTCCGTAACACTAATGCGCCGTATTTTGCTTCCTGCGCATGAAGTGGGTGTGGGTGTTCGGCCTTTGGAACGGAGTGCCCCCACCCCCACATAGCATTGAGTCGGGCCCACCTGGCTAGACAACCACCCCCAAATGCGCGCATGGGTCAAATTCCGACGTTGTTTGAAACCCCCGCAGCAAGCACAGGGACATCCTCCCGGCAATTGGAAACAGGCTTTTGACTAGTATTTGAGTGATGTGTCACTCTTGTGGTCTCTCATTATCGCAGGTCCTAAGTCTTTACCACAAGAAGTCCTCGAGTCGTTCGAGTGCTTCCGAATCATGTCTACAACCACCACTCAGTCAGATCCAACCCGAGTGTTGCGCCCCACCACGCTGGCGCACATCTTTCTCCGCACCAACAAATTCAAAGAGATGGTGCCATGGTGGAAAACAATTCTCGGCGCGGAAGCTCGATTCGAGACGGAACGCATAGCCTTTCTTTGCTTCGATGAAGCATCACCGCATCGCTATTTGCGCAATACCTGGCACGGGCGATAAAGTAAAAAGTAGTTCTGGACTAGAACATGTCGCATTTACTTTCAATAATCTCGAAGATCTCACCCAGGCTTATCGCCAACGAAAAGCATTAGGCATAATGCCGTCATGGTGCGTCCACCACGGTATTACGATATCGATCTACTACGACGATCCGGACGGCAACACGGTGGAAATGCAGGTAGATTGTTTCGAAGATGTCGACGAAGCGACTGCATTTATGGAGTCTGAGGCATTCAAGAAAAATCCAGTTGGTGTAGAGTTCGATCCTGAGGAATTAACGGCAAGGGTTGAGTCTGGGGAACGGCATGCTACTGTTTTCATTCGTCCGGACGGCCCGATTGCAAAGAAACATTGAGTTCTGAGATCAAGACACTGGGTTCATGACCCGCAATTGTATCAAATGTATCGGTTGTTACGTAAATACAATTTACTGTTTTAAAAGTCTCTACCTACTTCATTTGCGCAACTCCCATTCTTGAGAATCAATATCATCAACCATCTTGATATGGCCAGTTTGAGCGCCAACATACTTTGCGATTGCAAGTGCGAAATCTTGTGCATAACGTGCCTGCTCCAGTGTACCTCCATGTCTAACAAGCCCGCGGAGATGCCATAGAGCTTGCTCTGGGGAGTTGTTACACACAAGAAGAGCAGTGTTGCACATTTGCGTCTCAATATTAGACAGGATTGAATCTTCACTCATCCATAACTCGTAGTTGATTTTGATGTTGAGAAAGTCTAATATTGTGGCGAACATCAGCTCAGTTTTTAATGTAGCAATCGTCAGATCTAGCTTACAGTGGTCCGGGAAGTACTTCATCGTTCGGTCACGGTGAGCCTGTGCTGCAGTCGGACCCCATAGTTTATTGAAGTAAGACTTTCCACGCAGCACGATAGCGTTCTTTTCATTCTGTCCGGTCGCTTCGCGGATCCTGGAAGGTCAGCTGCATAATGAAAATGCTCGAAAGATCTTGTACCGTGGCGAAATATGGTCAATCTCATCGTCAGGAATGTTCTTGCAAAGAGGCCCGAGACCTTGAGCAGCACGTGGGACGCCGTACAAGATTGATCCTTTAGTTAGGGCTTCTTTCATTCTTCTCTGAACGATCTTCTTGTCTTCGAGACCTAAGCCGAATGTTGCTATCTGGTAGAGCGTACCGACATGTTCTCCAGCACAAGCGGACGTGAGAGCAACAGCCTAGTGCTTGACGTTAATACTCGTTCTATTCACCAAAACATCCCCTTTTATCAGTGTTTCCTTACTGCGATAATGTACCACGTTGCTTCTCGAATGCCGTCTTGAGCCTCTCGAGCTCGGAATTCGGATAGGATCTCATAAGGAAACATGGTGGCATTTTCGAGCACCATTGCTGCCACACGATGCTTAGATCAATGGATGACATCCGGCTAAATTCCAGCCTGGCTCTAGCTACCATACACCGCAAGCCAAACGCTCAATAGCACTGAAGAACCTCGGGTGCGGGGTCACCCCACATGCCTGAACGAGTTCGGGACCGACAACGCCCTCACCCCGATGTCGACTCTTCGTCGAATTTGGGTCCTATCATACTAGGAAATCACGAATCAACGAATTAAAGTGTCTTATTATTTCCGGGCCTCTCGCTGGAAAAGTCGTGCTCACACTGTTCTTGAAATCGATCTATCATAACTGTTTTCTGACCTTGCCTACCCTGGGTACAACATGGCGAGAGACTGGATACTCCCGAAGCTTCCCCTGTCTTTACCAAGACATGTCGTTCCTGATTTTCTGGATGTCGATTCTGTGGCAGAGCATTTCAGACGCGCCCTAGAAGCGCTTGACGAAAGTTTTATAGAGCGCGACGCTATTTGGAGAGATCTATTCATGATGACTGATACGACGCGTACATTCTACAGCTCCGCCTCAATCACTGCAGCATGGCAAGCGACCTCGATAACGAGACGACCTCGCGCATTTCAGATAGAGAGCTCTCGCGTGATACGATCGGGAGATTTATCATGGATTGAAATCAGCTTCACATTCGAGGCTGCTGGTACTCCTTCGACAACAGGCCATGGGTACATGAGCGTAGTCCTGGGTTCGGACGGTCAATGGCGCATTTGGATCCTGAGAACTATACTCGAGCAAGTCAACTCTCTAGCAAGCGTCGATGAGCTTATGCCCGCATCGAGGTCTTTGCCAATAGAACGACCGAACGGGATCTCATCGAAAAGCAAAGATACTACGGAATTGAATGGTACGACATCCGATAGGCCACATCACAATAACGGGCTGGTCGGCAATGGAACATCGATAAATGAGCGAATCTCTACAACGGACAGTAAGAGCGGCCAATTTTATGATGTCGCGATAGTGGGTGGAGGACAAGCAGGGCTCAGCACTGGAGGAAGGTTGAAGGCTTTGGGTGTTTCTTATATCATCTTGGAAAAGCATGACAACGTTGGGGACAACTGGAAGACTCGTTATGACTCAACTCGACGTACGTATTTAAGCCCTGGCCTGCAAGAAAAGGTGTTAAGCTGACAATAATTTGACAGTACACACAGTCAGAGAATTTGGTAAGAGCTATACTCCACAACCCGCCGTACGTGCGACCAACTGAATCTCTGTTGATAGCACACCTCCCTTTCTGTCGCACTTTTGATAAGTCTTATCAAGAGTGGTTGACAAAGGACGACCTCGCAGAGGGATACCAACACTGGGTGCAGAAATATGACATTGTGAGCTCACCATCTAGCCTCAACTTTTTTCCATCGCCGCAGGACGATGTAGCATTGTCATACACTAACCAGGAATAGAATATCTCATTGTCGACGGAGCTTGTATCTGGTCGCTGGTGTGAAAAGACCACTGAATGGAAGCTCCAAATCCGACAAAAAGGAAATGAGTCTACTTTACGCTCGTCTTTTGTAGTGTTCGCTGTTGGGGCAAACTGTACGTTTCCAGTCGCACCTGTCTATGCAGACCGAGTAAGCTATCTCTTCCTCGTCATGATTCGACTGCAGCAGGGATCTATGTTAATAGAGGTCATTAGGACATCTTTCAAGGACTCACCATTCATTCTGGAAGCTACAAGAACTCGCACGACTGGAAAGGAACACATGGGGTCGTGGTCGGGACAGCCAATACTGGTGAGTGGGATTCGCAAGTCCCCCACGAGTCGACCCGACATCTGGTCCGGCTAACAATGGCAGCACATGACATCGCCGAGGATATGTTGGATGCCGGGCTCGCATCTGTAACAATGATTCAGCGATCCCCTACAAGTAAGTGATCATTGATGATAGATTCCCTCACAACCTTTTTGACGAGGTGAATTTCAGTGGTTGTACCTAGAGAGCACTACAGAGAGACCCATGACCGTAAGTATTGCCTAGCTTTTCGGAGCTATTTCAGACAGTTGCTTTGTTCTATTCTAAATCTCGCACAATTCAAGGCATATATAACGAATTCGTCCCAACAGAAGTAGCGGACCGGCTCTTCTTTAGCGGGCCTGCTGTCCTCGGCCGTACTATGGGCAACAAGGTGTTACGCAATAAAGCAGAGAAGGCCTGGGAGAGGTTTGAGGCTTTGAAAAGAGCCGGGTTCAGGATTGATGAAGAAGGTGACATGTCATACTACATCTTTGAAAGACTGGGCGGTCATTACATGGATGTGGGCGCTTCTGCTAAGATTTCTAAAGGATTGGTAAGTGGGTCGTACTACTCGTTCGGAGAGATAGCGCGCCATCGTACTCGGATTGATGTTGACCAAGGGGCTGACTTCGAACTCATGTTTCAGATCAAAATCGTCTCCGACACCCTTCCCACTCGGTACACGCCAGATGGCCTTGAATGTTCCAATGGCCAACACATCCCCGCAGACGTTGTTGTCTTTGCGACAGGCTTTGTCGGGAATCTTCGCTTAGTCGTCGCCGATATCTTCGGATCGGAGCTTGCAGGACAATTGGATGACTACTGGGGCTTAGATGACGAAGGTGAATTGAAAGGTGCATTCAAGTTCAGTGGGCGTAAGTTCCTCGTCAATTAACCCTGGATGATCCTGCTGGCGACATCTCTATTGACTAATGTATGTTACAGACCCGGCATTCTTCTATTGTGGTGGCGCCGTTGGTCAGGCCAGGTATTTGTCCCGATTCATTGCTCTGCAGATCAAGTTGAAGCTACTGGGAACTCCCATACCAACTTACAAAGAGACGCCACATCCTAATTCAGTCGGGAGGAAGGACAGCGTCCTTTAAGTATCATCTCATTTCGTGGTAAGGTACTTTAGCATAGTCAATGGATACCATGTGTCTTTTTCCATCTTTGAAGAAATCTAGGCAATTTGAGATATGCTACCTGCTTCTGCACGGAAAAGTCACTGTAGGCGAAGCGCAAATTCAGCTGCTTCCTTTATCAGCACCCCGTGAGCACGTCATGGCAGGGTGTAGTCTTTCACGAAGTTTAATCAATGATGAACACTGAACAAAGCGAGACTTGTGACCTGCTTGCTTCGAATTGGTAGCATTCGATGCATAGCGGATGAGAGCATGCCATTAAATTTGATGCATATCGTGATGAGCCAAAATGGGATCCACAGACCCTCTCGGGCGGAGCGTTCGGTTCAGATACAGAAAGAGTCATGTAGGTAAAGACCTAAACCTAGATACCAAAGATCACGCATTACTCTATGCGATACTGTCTACTACATCATTGGGATCCCAAAACAAAGTCAAGAGCCTTGGCAAGGTCTGATTCTTTCCCAGCATGAACCGATCGCCACGCAACGATATGATCTGGGCGCACCAGTATAGCACCTTCATCGCCAGCTTCTTTGAGCGTGGACCATACGCATTCACTATCGACGTAGTCGCCCGATTGTATGTCCTTTGTTGGCTCAACAATATGCACTACGCGAATGCTTATGTCCCGAAGGGACGAGATGTTTCTCGCTGCATCTGCCCAATTTTGGCCTTTGCGACCTAAAATGAGGAGGAAATCGCCGGTTGGGCCATTGAGATCAAGTGTAGATAGCACTTTGCCGTCGCATTCGACCCATGCGTGAGGAAGACGATGGCCCGGTCGTGTTGTAGGTATGTAAGTCTGGTTGCGCGCATCTGCTTTGGGAGCTCGAGACCCATCCGGAACTAGGGCACCTTGCTGATTAACAGAATCCAAGGTCGAGGTTATGGGCGTGGAACTCAATAGCTTGGCCATCGATGACATGTTGGAGTTGAGCAAGACCGGCCCTTCCCGTCTCTGACTGAGCATCAAAGAGTCTGGTCAAGTGCTCCTTGTTGGCGTCCGGTTGCCCGTTCTGTAAGCCTATTGCGGCGCCGATGATGAGGTGGCATTTCGATGTGAAAAGCGCCCAATCGCAGTTTCTCTTTCCAATAGCCCTTCTTTCAACCTCGTATGTATCGAGAAGGTTTAGCTGTGCCTTGTTCTTGAGAGCATAAGATAATTTCCACGCCAGATTGTGCGCGTCTTGCACCGCAGTATTCAGACCTAACCCGGTTGTCGGCGGGTGTCGATGGGCCGCATCCCCTCCGATGAAGACGCGTCCCTTTCGATATTCATTTGCTAAGACACGTTCGAGGGTCCAGCTACTGAAACTCAATATCTCCATGTTGAAGTCCGGCAATTTCAACAGCTCGCGCACTCTTCGCACAGCGTCTTCGCGAGGGGGTGATGGTTTATCCGCATCGATCGCAAAGTGCATTTGCCATTCCTCAGAATGCCTCCCCCAGGTCGGACCTAAGGGAAGCATGGATCCACTTTTCATTCCAAGGCCAAGCTCGGGATTCGCAAAGTGGGCGATTCCAACGCGATCATCCCAGTATTGCGAGAGATCCGCCTTAAAATGTACGGATATAATCTTCCTGAGGTTCCTGACGCCGTCAAGTTCGATACCCAATTTTGGTCCGACAGTCTTTCCACCATCGGCACCCACAACATATTGAGCACGATAACACAACATTTGACCGCTCACCCTGTCCAGTACGTCAACTCGCACATGATCGTCCTCTTCCGTAACATCTAAAACATCGTGGTTGAATAACACGTTTCCCGGATTGCGTTTTTCCGCGATCGCGCGAAAGATAGGTTCAGACCTTAAGAGTGGCAAATTGGTTGGCAAGTAAGGGGCGTCACGTCTAAAACATTCAACTTGATTTTCCAGGCTTTGGGTAACTGACTTACTGGTACGCATTGCTCCTTACTGTATTGAGCTGGCAACCCCACGTCTCAACACAGCCTAGAACTTTTCGATCTAGGGGCCCATCTCCGGCCAAAGACGTCTGCCAAATAACCCGGCTCATCTGCTGTGGCGGTGTGCCTTGTGCTCGAATGCTCTCCGCAATGCCATGTTGCCGAAAGATCTCCAAGGTACGTTGGTTGATGATGTGGGCTTTTGGTAAGATCGAGGTCGTGGGATGGCGTTCGAACAAAACATGATTGACAGCCATGTCAGAGAGGAAGATTGATAGATTTAGACCACATGCTTCCTAGGTGATTAGAATTTCAGGTAGTATTAGTATCCGACAGCAGGCATCTTACATCTTCCTCCGATTACTACCACAGGGACATCCACCGTTTTCGCCATTTTCGTTTTGTTTTGGGGAGAATTGGTCGTGCAGTGTGATATTAAAAAACGTGGCAGGATTATTATCGAAACACACTTTATGAACTAAATCACGAAGCTCAAGTATAGCGGCATCCTAGCTTAACTTTAAACCGCCTGCGGCGAAAACAATAGCATCGCTGCACTGGTCGTTTTCCTCGGTTCTTGCACGAGCTATTGCGGAACGGAAACAGACAAGGCCGATCAGATGTTAGAACTCAGCGGCTTATCCCACTTCATCCCCCACATCCCACCTTAACCCGCTTTACCCCGCGTTAGCCTACATTACCACGCCCTACTACTCCTATGTATGTTGCATAGATTCTACCACTGAATTATAGAAAGAAGAAAATTCAGATGATAATAGTAGAAAATTTATAATACTACCTAAAGTAGATATTTTAGTCGTGCAGACGTTTCTGAACCCGTAATATCTCAACCCCAGAGCTGTGCGCCTCCTGTCCCAGCCTTTTCGTGTTACGGCGTGGGAACTTATCGATAAGCGTCATATCAAGGTGAGGGCTAACTGCTCGTTATCCACTCACTAAGCAGGCGCTGAAGCCGTGCTGTACCTCTTCGTGAGGCTCTCGTCGACTTCGCTCAAGCATATAGGAGTTCACGATGTCTGATCTCGACGCTACAACACCACGTGTGTTTCTAGCCCGTCACGGTATGCAAGTGCTGCTCATGGCTCGTGTCACAGTTGTACTGAACTGATAATAGGGGAGACTGAATGGACCAAAAGCGGACGTTACACAGGAACGACTGAGGTTCCATTGACTCTTTACGGCGGGGAACAAGTTGTAAGCACTGCAAGGTTGCTCGTGGGACGTGGCAAACTGATCGATCCCACTCGCGTCCGCCACATCTGGGTCAGTCCTCGAAAGCGTGCCTTGCAGACCTTCTCCTGCCTTTTCAATCGCGCAAATGCAGAATCTTCCCATGGTGGATTAGCCGTGGGCGGAAAGCGAGTGACAGTAACAGAAGATCTTGCTGAGTGGGATTATGGAGATTATGAGGGTCTTTTGGTCGAAGAAATTCGTGACAAGCGGAAACAGCAAGGACTTGACAAAGAGCGAGCGTGGAATATTTGGCGAGATGGGTGCGAGGGTGGAGAGTACGCTTTCCAAGAGTGTGTGCATCATATGGAGACGCTAATGTTCCATCAGATCAGCAGAACAGGTTACCGAGCGACTGGACAGATTGATCGAAACAATCCGTGACTTGCAACGTGACCACATGGACGGGAGGGAGCCGGCTGATGTCGTTCTGGTAAGTTGACTCCTCCTAAATGAACAAGTTAACACTTGGTAAGGTAGCACATGGGCTCATACTCCGTTGCTTTATGAAAAGATGGTTGAACATCCCCGTTCAAGAATCTGTACCGATGATGATGTCTCCGGGCGCGATTGGGACCCTTGGGTATGTGTTAGTCCCTACTTCATATGAAACCAGCTCTTAGATGGCTTAGTTATAAGAACCATAACATCGAGGAACCTGGATTTTTCGTAGGTATGGCATTACCAGTAGCAACGTGAGCCATACTTTTGTCGATGACTGTATGCTTCAAGGTTATTGGTGCCATATAAGGGCAGAATATCCACCTGGGGTGCACGACGTCGGCAGTCGATGATCATTATGGTACAGCAATCGGCTGGTTTTCCGTCTTTATGCCTGGATCTCTTATCATGGCTATTTGAATCGGTTGGAGTATCAAATTCGTGAATGACTCTCTCGTTACTGTGGGCTCAGTTATAGGCACTACATGTTCTACAATCTCTTACGGTACCGCCGCGAGGGGACCCCAGACGTTTCTGTCATGGGAAGATTCCGAAGGAAAGACGCATTCACAGGTTTCTGTATGTTTGGTCGGTATACCTCACGGGCTCCAAGCGTGAGGAGAAGCTGATTATAAACGTGGGTGGGTCATCATCGACAACCTGGAAATAACTGAATGGTGCAGGATCCTTAATCTTACCATCAGTGGAGACCGAGCTAATAAAGCCGATTGGGCGAGGCGCGATGCCCGAGACAAAAAGACGGTATCTCTGAGTGACAGATCGATCTGAACAGCAAGGTATGATCTCTCTGTGAAATTTCTCGGCAGCGGGAGGGCCAGCTTGGACACCTTTTCCGCATGATCAGGTTGGGTCAGAAGACTTGGTGACCTCAACGTGTGTGTTTAAATGATCGAAGTCTGGCCGGCTTGTAATGGTCTTTTTGGATGGGCGAAGATGTCGGCTTTGTCACATTGCCAACGACAGACGGCTTGTCTTGATTGCGGTGAAAGATATTCTAGAAGGCCGGAGTCACCACGCATTGGCGGGACGCCCAGGGGCCTTGATCTCATAGTCGGCTGATTTTCTTTTTTCCAAGGAAAGCCCTACACGATACACCTTTTCGTGGCAAAACCATATGCCCAACACCTGCCTTGAGCATAACATCTCTTTGAAGGAAGTCTTCATTGGACCTCAGATAGACTTTTCACATCCAGCATGCTTAGCTTGAGTGTTTTGCAGCTCTAAGACTCTTTCTGACCTTTGTCTCCGTTTTCGATTTGCGTGATAGTCCTGTCCCTTCGACCACCGCCGGAGTCTTTCAAGCGGGTCGTACCAAAAGCGTGTGCTGAAGCGAGATCTCGGCCAAAGAACTACCTAACTCATGATTTGCTGACTCGACGCTTCGGGATGAGATCTGCCAGAAGGAGTGCCGGACAGCTAAATCAAATGTTCGGGAGCTCTTAGTGTTGTCGGTAATCTACATTACAGAACGCCTTTCACACATACCACCCACAGCCTTCTGCATCGATTCGGCACAGCTAGCAACCCGTCACGACCAACACCCGAGCGGTAGGCAACGTGAAGACTGGCCCGAGAGCGGGTCCAGAATACATTCTGTCCCCAGCTTCAACGACTAAAGCATGAAACCTTCACAGGAGGGGTTCGAGACGTCGGTGTAGCCGAGTACCCTAACGTCGAGGATGGTAACTTCGCGCATACATCTGCAAGGCGTAGGGGAGCGCGGGTCTGGGAAGCTGCTCAGAACGGAGATTATCATGTCAGATCCTCGTTATGAGAAAACACAAACTCATCGGGCAGGCATCAGATCAGGGCTAGCGAAAATGCGATTCCACTCAGTATTGCGCTGCGCATAGCCAAAGCCGCCAACGCGACTCAGTGACTCCGATGTTATATGTAACACAGCCTGCTGATCCCATTGCCATTGGTACGCAGGACTCACTTCATGCTACATGATAGAATCATAACTTCGTGGCATACACTCATCAACTATCCGCCATACAAACGACGCCCTCTATCTACAAAACAAGCTTGTACGATGCAACCTCAAAAGCCCTGATCTCAAGCTTAGCCCCCTTCTTCCCCTCCACCTCCGTCAGCACAATCTCCTTCTCGCCCTCGATGTCGTCCTCCAGCGCATTCACCTTGACAACCTTCTTGACGTGCAAAGAGCCCCAAGTGAGCACCGCTTTGCTCTTTCCACCCAGCGCATCGTAGATGCGCACGATGACGGATTGGCCTTTCTTGACGGGGAGCTCGCCGCGGGAAACGTCCTCGTCGTCTTCGCCTCGCTTGATGGTATCGAGCACGAGGTTTGGCGCGCCGTGGATCTGGAAGGAGTTGAGAAGGGAGGGGTTAGAGCTGGCCTTGCGGCCTACGATGCGGAGCGGATTGTTGAATTCGAAGGCCTTGCGGACGGTAGCTTCGTTGAGGGACCCGGCGTGGGGGAAGATGGCGTAGCGGGTGTGATGACGGCCCATGTCGGCGTGTGCATCTGGGGCCTTTGGCGCGCGGAGGAGCGAGAGTCTCATGACGTTCCCTGCGGTTGCGAATCCAAATTTCGAGTCGTTGAGAATGGAAACACCGTATGAAGCCTCTGAGAGATCGGCCCATTTGTGGACGCAGACTTCGAACTTGGCCATGTCCCAAGTTGTGTTGTAGTGGGTTGGGCGACGGACAATACCATATTGCGTCTCGTAGCTGGCTTCCGTGTTGACGATGTCAACCGGGAACTCCACCTTGAGGAACTTCATTGTTTCCTGCCATTCGATTTCCGCGTCGATCTCGACACTTGTTGGGGCGTTGCCGACTGCCGCAGGTAGAGAGATGGTGGTCTTAACCCATGACTTGTCCGAAATCTTAGTTTCGATGTTGAGTGAGACACGGTGAGGTCCGTCCTCTGAAATGACCACCTTTGACGGGGGCAACTCTTGGCGAGACTCAAGATGGTAAACTTCGACATCCCAGGCTTGCCAGTACAACGGCTTGTCATCGAATATGACAAGTTGGGCCGCCTTAGCACCCTTTGGAACGATTTCGCGATCGGCGTTGATATCGTACAGCGACGTGATCGCGCCGTTAGAGACCTCAACTACAAATTGGGAGTTGCGAAGCTCGAACACATCCGGTCGGATCTCCTTCACGGATGAAGTGGTGGCGGAGTAAGGAGAGGCAAGCGGGCGAACCTCTAAGGCGCTCATACTGTCCCCATGCGCGAGGCCGTATGTTGGAAGACCGGCAACCGGCGGAAGCTTCACAAGTTCGGTTCTTGGCCAAGGAAGAGTGTTCAGCGCAAAGAGGTCGCTGTCGTGCTTGATGTCCTGATCGAAGCCAAGTTCCGATAGTGCATCTGAAAGCAACCTTTCGCCAGTAGCGAATGCTTTGGCGTAGATCTAATACTGGTCAATACAATTTCACGAGGGGGCAAGTGGCGCGGCGCTTACCTCGTCCGAGTCACGGTAGCACATCTCAATCGAGCTACCAGGCAGACAGTCATGGAATTGGCACAACAGAACGCCTTCCCAGATATCATCTAGGTCCTTCTTGGGGTACTTGTACGAGCTCTTCTTCCCGAAGGCATTTCGAACTGTGGCGAGCGTTGCCAGGTACTCAATGTCTCTGAGCATGATCTCAGATTTCCGGTTGTTACGCTTGTTGTTCGCTTGCGTTGTGTATGTTCCGCGATGCAGCTCGAAGTAGAGCTCACCGTACCAGGTCACGAGTTCGTGGCCTTGCTCGACCTTCTTCTCTAGCTTGTCGAAGAAGTCATCGGCAGAGTCGCCGAGTTTTACGCGCGGTAAACGACCACCCTTGTTGTCACTCATTCCGCGGCATCTTCGCAGTCTCTCCATCATTTCCCAGGTGGGACCACCCCCTCCATCTCCCTTGCCGAAGACCATAAGCGAAGTGTTGTCTCGGTCGAGAGACTTGTGCTGTGTGACACTCCTCTTGACGTCGCCAAAGTGTGCTTCGGCAGTATACGTCTCGCATGGTGGCATATGGCAAATAACCTGGCTATTGTCGAGAGCTACCCAACTAAATGTGGTGTGAGGGAAGTTGTTAATGTTGTTCCAACTAAGCTTCTGCGTCAAGAACCGTGTCATCCCAGAGATCCGACAGATCTGGGGGAGCTGTGTAGAATAGCCAAAGGTATCTGGAAGCCAGAATGTCTTGCACCGCTGTCCGAATCGGCTCTCAAAGTATCGTTGTCCGTAGAGAAATTGTCTGATCAACGACTCTCCACCAGGGAGGTTGGTATCGTGCTCTACCCAGCTCCCTCCGATAGGCTGGAAGGAGCCTTCTTTGACCTTCTTCTTAACGCGGTCGAAAGTAGATGGATACAACTCTTCTAACCACTTGTACTGCTGAGCTTGCGTGCAGACGAAGCGCAGCTCGGGATACCGATCAATTAGATCGCACTGGTTCGACCAAGAGCGCGCGACCTTGCGTTTGGTTTCGGCGAACGGCCACAGCCAGCATGTGTCAATGTGGCAATAGCCAATGCCAGTAACAATAGCCTCATTGTCGCTCTCGTAGACTTTGTGTGAATCGACATGGCCAAGGTACTCGCGCGCGATCTTGCGGCCTTCAAGGATGCTTTCCTGGCTTCCACCGCCAGCAATGAAAGCGTCTATGATGCGATTGCAGACCTGCTGCGCCTCGTGCTTCTCAACAGAGTCGTCCGGAAACTCCCTCGCTGCATCGCCCAATTCCCAGAAGTCATAGCGAAGAGCCCGTGCTTCTAGGTTAATGGCTTGGATCTCGACGATGCTCAGGCGAAAGGACCTATTTGGGTCTGGCGGCTGGATGGAACCGCCGTTACCATTGCCGAACATGCCGTTGCATGCCACCTCGACGTAGAAGGTATGCTCCTTCCCGTCCCTGAATTCTTTGGGTAGTATCCATTCGGTGCGCTCACCGCCGCCGGTCAGGCCATGTACAACGTCGCCGTGTTCTGTCCATATCATGCCTTCGCAACCGGCGTCCCATTTGAACTCGAGGTGCTCGTACTTCAAGAATTCTTTGGGGACTGTCATCTGGATTTTGACCCAGTGCGTCGACCAGCCGGGCCCGAACCAATGGCCGGGTATGATCGGTTTGAAGTCATGGGAGACGGCGTCCTTAAACGTGGGGCGCGAGAGGTTGGGCGGAGAGTAGACGGAAAGCTTGAACGGACCCGGGTTCGCGCCAACTTTGGCATATACGATCTTTCTAGATATTGTCAGTGAGGAGCGTCAGTGATACCGGAAACAATCGCAACGTACGGTAACAGGCCTTGGCCGTAGTACTGCCCGCCATCCGTGAACTGGTTCAGGCGGTCGCGGTAGATGCGGTCGATCTGCTTGCCCACGGGACCAGCCGCGAGCTTGGGGTAGTCAGAAGACACGGGAATGACACGCTGTTCGCCGCCCATGATGATGTTTCGCAGAATGATGAGGGTGTAGAGCTGGAGCTGTGAGCTGGCTGGAGCTTCGGCGGCGGGCCCTTGCATGAGCTGTACCATAGTAAGCTATAAGCTGGGGCTGGGGCCCCGCATTACGAAACCGTGGCTTAGACCCCAACCAGCTGACCACACACCATTACAACATGGACACTCCCAGTTTTCCACGCACACTGTCCTTCTGAAGAGCCACAGATACGCCGGTTTTATAGACAGAGAGCCTTTTATTCACAGAGAAGGTGCTTCGTCTGCCTGTTCACATGCCAGAGTAATCGATTTTCTATGTAAAAAGGCAGACCATCCAGGTACTCCAATCCGCGGACAACATTATGCACGTGGATTCCATCTAACGCCGGACCAAAACTCAACATTGCAGAGAAAACATGTCAAACCAATACTCTGAACATCTGCTGAGCATCGAACAGATTCAAGTAGGACTTTTAATGGATGCGGTCCAGACGGGCCCTGTTCATAGCGATCTGGTCGTCCACCTTGTCCGTCTTCCGCGTGATGCGATCGATGTGCTCGTTCTGAGTATCGACCTCCTGGCCCATGGCTCTACCAAGAGCGTTCAGTCGCTTCGCAGCTCCGTGAAGCTGATCCAAGTTGCCGTCGATCTCGTTCTCTGCGCTGTGTCAGTATATAATGTCTGATACAAAGAGAAAGCGCCAGCACTTACCCATCTCATCGTCTTCGCTATCAGCCTCAAACTGGTACTTTGCACGGTCTGCCAGTGTGGATTTGCCCCCTGTGTTTCCACCTTGCGTGCCTCTCTTGTACTCGTCTTGCCTTGCCGTACTCTGCCACGCGGCCGCCCGAGTCGCGTCTCTCTGAGCACGGTCGTTCTGGTGATTTTCCATGATCTTGCGATCCCTCTCCTCGCGCCTTGAACTGGTGGTGAAAGGGTTGGCCACGTGAACCGCGAACATACTTCTGTTGAGCGTCTTGAGCTCACGTGCCTTCTCCTCCGCGATCCGATTCTGCGACGAGGCCATGTCCAAGTTGCGTTCTGTGTTGTGGATCCTCTCTAAATGCAACAGTCAGTACTGATTTGTCGCTCTGGTCAGTAAAGAGTAATACATACCACCTTGTGCTCCCAAACGAGCGAGAGTATCACGACCCGTCTCTTCAGCCTGTTGCGCGAGCCTCAACGCATTTCGGGTGGAGGACACATCCTGCTGCTTCATAAACTTGATTTCGCTCTTTGTCGCCATCATGTCCTCTTCTTCTTGCTCCTCTGCAGTCAACTGTCGGTCTTCGTATGCTGGTCCGCTGCCGTAGCCTCCCGGAGCTCCGTAACCACCACCAGAAACGCCCGACTGGCCGTAGGAGCTGCCTCCTCCTTGCTGTCCATAGCCGCCGCTCTCTTGGGGTGGCTGCTGTTGTGGCTGCTTCGGTTGTCTCTGGGCTGCGCCTCCGAACAGGGCAGAACGTTCTTCCTCGTTGTTCGGGTCGGCGTTGCCCATGCCACCGTAGCCTCCAGTACGGCGAGGGGCGCCCTGGTCTGCAGGGCCTCCGCCAAACTGGTTGCCGCCATAGCCACCGGATGCACCATAGTTGCCTGCGCTCTGGTAACCGCGACCTCCAAATTGTCCACCCTGGCCTGTCACAGCGGGGCTCTTCTCCTGGCGGAACGAATCGTTGCCTCCGCTGTACGCTGGGGGTGCTGCGTTCGCATATGGATCGTTCTTTGCAGGCGCAGCGTAAGGGTTGGCTGCTGCCTCACCTTCTTTGTTCTTCTTCTTAAAGAGACCCATGATGTGCGGTTGTGGGTGTGGTGGTGTGGTCGTTGGGCTGAGGCGGATGTCGTGCGTGCGGGGTGACGTGCTGCTACTCTATCGCTGGTTGCGGCGGTGTAAAGGTGTGAGTGGTGATCGGTGTATCTGTCAGGTAGGAAGACACAGCAACGTAGTGTTTTCGGGGTGTCCCTGAGTATTTGACTGTTTGGTGGAGTGTCGGAGGTTGAACACTGGTCGTTTCGCAGTAAGCGCGGTCCAGCTGCCCAGGATGTTGACTGGCGCCCGGTGGCTGTGCGGGACGCGCCACGGTGGGGGCGTGCGGCATCAATGATTCACTGCCTCAACGACGCGTATAGTGTAAAAAACGATTCGATATCGACAGTATCGCAATAGGACTCCCACTTTTGGCTTTGATCTATATAGTTTGCTGTTCTACAGACCACCTGGGCAGGGTTGAAGATTTGATTGCGGAGGGCGTTAACTGGACCCTGCATCCGCTGCGACGCTAGCATTGCGAGGCACCAGGAGTTGCACTGTGAGAGATGTACAAGAGCCATCTCTACAACTTTGCCTGTACCTTTGCCGACCACGCCTGGATCTTCTTCTCCCGCTCTGCAGCTTCCGCATCGAGCCTATCACTCGCCTTGCGCAATCGCTCGGACTCGCGCTCGTCGTTCTCCAGGAAATTGACTGTCTCCCGCCACATCTCCCTCTTCAGATCTCCGACTACTCCCTTGTCGGGCCTGCTGGTCAGCTTCAGCTCTTCGATGAACGTAAGCACTTCCTCCAGACCGCCAACGCCATCGATGATGTCGTTCTTCAGTGCATCCAGTGACTGATGCCATCGTGAGTACACTCAATAGCCAGTGATGAGATAGAACTTACCTTGAATCGCTTGCCCTCGAGTACCAGAGTCCGATAGACAGTCGGCGAACACTTCTGCCGGAAGATGGATGACATTGCTGGTCGTAATGGGACGCCCAGCTCAACCTCGTTCAAGCAGAGGTAGCCTCTGTGCGGGTTCATGATGCGATAGTCGTGCATCATGGCTGTCATGAGAGCGCCAGCGAAACCGTGGCCGTTGATCAGAGCAATGGTAGGCATTGGGTAGCTGGCATATATTAGCATATTTGGGTTCATCAATCTGATTGTGTGAGACTCACATCAAGATGCGCCGCCATAACTTGAACAAAACATTCGCAAAAAAGCCGGGCTGCATGGCGTGCTCCAAGTCCAAGCCATTGCTGTAGAACTTCTCGATCAACGAGGTAGTAATGACGACGCCGTGCTGGTATTTCGTCTCGAGAATGTCCAGCGCCAGCAAGATGGCCTCGCAAAAGTCGGTCACGAGGCGATTATCCGGCGGCGAGCCGAATGCGACGACATAGACCTTTTCAGCGGGCGAGGTGACCTCAACCTTGCCCTTTGTGCCGATTGGAACTGTGAACAGTGGTTTTCCGCGCGACATTATAGATGTTACTAGATACGTACGGTGTTGAAGGTGGTCTATTGTGAGATGGACTATTTCACGTGCAAATCGCCGAGCTGCATCGTTCCAGCTACCCGAGCGCTATCCGGCAACCAACAACGCGTCGGAAGCGATCAGTAAACACAATGATGCCCATCTAGGTCACATGGTCTGCAACTACAATCACTGCCCATGTTCTGCTATAGCTGCAAAAGCGTGCCTCGATATCCGCCCTGACAACCCTCCCGTAGCAACTGCCTGATGCTCTCGATGCTGCCTACATATGGATCTGACACCTTCAGGCTTGGGTACGCGACACGCCGAGGTACACTCAGAGCGTCATCGATCAACACGCCATCCACCCTGAGCATCATCTCATACACCACGACCTCGGCTCTGACTGTGTCCAATTCCAGCAGCACGAATGTGCGTCGGTTGCATGCCGATTTGCAGCTTCTGCGAAACGCAGACGAACGCCAGTGCAGACTAATTGGAAAGGCGAGGGCAACGACATCTGGACCTTTGCGTCAGCACAGCGCTGATGTTTGCACCGGCCGATGCACCGCTAGCCACAGAGCCGGCTTCTAACTTGACGTTGATGACGTCTGTGGCATGCTTCGCTATCCAACTTGACTATTCCATGTATCCCATGAAAATGTAGCTATGTATGTATGCTCTGGTGTTAGAGGGTGGCACGTCTGCAAAGACACAGGCCAGATTGCCAAATCGTAGCATAGCGCGGGATGAGGACAGACGTCTTGAGGGATGCATAAGAGTGTGTGTATGTGAAGATGAGAGTGCTTTTGTATCATTATAATTATAAGACAAGCACGAAGTCGTCTGGAGCTCAAGGCGATCCTCAAGCCGTGCTCAACGCTTCTTAATCCTATTGCTTGTGGGATCCTTCAATCTCTTCTTCAAGGTGCTGAGAAGCCTTCTTCGTCCACGTCGTACCACCAGCTACATTGCCATCTTCAAGCAAGACCTCGTCGTCCGATGCCAGCGCCTCATGCTCCTCCTTGGTCCATATTTCCGTGCCCTCCACCACCGGAAACGACGTAAGAACGCGACTGATATCACCCCACCATACCTCACCAAATCGCCGATACCATTCTACCGTCCGCCTCAGACCATCATCGAAGCTGGTCGTTGGCTGCCAGCCCAATGCAGCGAGCTTCGTTCCGTCGGTCGCGTATCGCTGATCGTTGAAAGGGCGATCTTCCGTGTACTGCACCGATTTCTCGAGCTCTGCTGGCGTCTCGTGCGGAAGCTTGAACAGGTCTAATAGTTTGTGGCAGATTTCCGTATTGGAGATCTCATCCGAGGTCGCAATGTTGTATATTTGTCCGACGTCGCCTTTATGGAAGATCGTGTCTAACGCATCTACGATATCGCCTGCGTAAAGATACCGCCGGGTGGGTGATCCATCGCCGTGAACAAGGAGCTTTCTGCTGCGCTGCAAAAGCATGATGAACTTGGGTATAATCTCTGTGGATGGTCAGCAAGGAACGAGAGACGTTAGATACGACGCCGTACTTTCTGGAAACTGATGAGGACCGTAAACATTGTTGGCCCGCACAGTGATCAAGGGGAGCTTGAAGCTCGCCCGATACGCGCTCACCATCATCTCCGCCGCAGCCTTGCTAGCTGAGTATGGGTTTGTGGGAGCCAGAATGCTCGTTTCGCTGAGATCCGCTGCACCAACCGGTACGTCTCCATACACCTCGTCCGTCGAGATATGTATGAACCTGGAGATGCCATGCTCCCGCGCCCGTTCCAACAAAACATGTGTCCCGTATACGTTCGTGTTCGTGAACTCATAACTGTTGCCAAAGCTGAGATCTACGTGCGATTGGGCTGCGAAGTGGAAGATGGTGTCGATCTGGTGTTTTCGCAGCACTCTCCTAACATCTGAAGGAGACGTGATGTCGCCTTGCTCGAATGTGAAGTTGGCGCGGCCATCGAGGACGCGCGTATTGTTCAGTGTTGCGCAGTAGTCGAGCTTATCGAACGAGACGACATTATAGTGGTCGGGGTACGTGAGGGTCAAGTGTCGGACGAACCAACACGCGCTGTGAGGTTGTCAGTCGCGACTCTATTCCACGAGCACGCCATGTCGCACATGAAGCCTGCCCCGCCTGTTACGAGAATGTTGCGCGCATCCTCTCGTGGATCAAATTGCGTTGTTCCTGTTAGGATCGGAGCTTGCTTCCAGAGATCTTCTGTTAGATAGGATCTCGGGTTGAGAACGGTTGAATTCCTCCGATCTGTGTCACACAGTCAGCTACAAGTACCGTCTGTCGGACGTCTCTGCCTGCTAAAATCAGGTTGAACGGTGCATAGGTCGGTAAAGAGAACTCGAAATAGCGCAATTGACGGGGATCACATAGGAATGTGCGTGCTAAACAACCGCAATGGCAATCGCGGGGAAGGTTCTAAGGACGACATACGTTTGAGGCCATTGGAAACCGGTGCGCAATCGGGGCTCTCTACGGCGGACATCTTGACATAAACCACACGCAGAAGCTGTACATGTAGGGCAGTCGTATGAGCAATTTCGTCAACATCTCATGAGAACATGACGAATCCATCAATATACGATGCCTGGCGCATCTTTTGTTCCTGGGGGCTAACACCGCAAGAGGAAGCGCATCCGCCTCATCATGTGACGTCACTCCACGTGCAAGCCCTAAATTTAGCCAGCTTTTTGGGAGGAATGCTCGGGTCTAAGCGCGAGCCGATTCGGTCTTCGCTCTCCAGGTATCGGCTTCGGAACTTCGGTACAAAGCTCTCGCTGCGCGGAGGCTACGCACTAGTCCATCACTAATTTGATGCCTCGTAAGAAATTAGGTATAAAGTATCTAGATGAAAGACGCATCTCTTCTCCGAGATCTCTTTACTGCTGAACAATAGATCTTCTTGAATCACCTTCACGCATTGTAGTCACTGAAGACCGTAATTCGCACTCCGCAAGCATGACCTCCAACCCAGATACGCTCGCCGTCCTCAACAGCGCGACCCTCGGCGCCGCGATGCCTGTAGTCACGCTGCCTGACGGCTCCAAGATACAAACCGGCACCGTCGGCGCTCTACTAGTCAACATCCGAGAGTACGATCAACTCATATCCGGCTCGAGCGCTGACGAAGGCAAGAAGAAAGAGTTGGAGGAGAAGATGGCGGCGAGTATGCCGGTGCTGAAGAAGGCGGGTGAGTAATTGGCATGTTCTTGTAATTGTTGGATAAGTAGCTCATGCAATTTGTAGGTTTGTTTGGTCTGTTTAGGCCTGATGAGTGGATTAACGGAGGAAGTCCTGGGAGGAAGTTTGTGGGGGACCTTGCAATGAGGGAAGGCTTGTAGACGTAGTGTATCAGGTGTGATATAACTTTGCTAGTTGGCATTGCAAATCTCTTTGCGCCCACTAATCGCAAGATGAGTACCTGTTTCCGCGCACGAGCATCCTCATGCCAGATCCGAATGTGACTTGCCGTTTAGCCAAGCGACTCCTACGGCTGCTGATTACCCTGCTGTCCTCCAGGCTCCTTCTTTGACCCTTCAGGCACATCCTCAACATAGAACAACATCTCAGGATGACGATGCTCGTCCGACCCCTTGCGCTTCTCGTCCCCCCAGAACACCTGGGCCTTGGTGATCCTCTTGTTCCCCAGCTCTTTCTTGTGACTGGTCAGAAAGTATCCAAAGGATATCGCATTAGGGGATCCAAGCAACGCCAATCCCTCGTCGCTTTCCATGCTGAATGTCGCCCCTGGCCAGCCGGTGACCTCCTTTCCCCACATCTTCAACGCGGATGCGATGATTGAGGCGGTCTCTGGGTTGGCGACCTGCTGGGTCCAGAAATACTTGATGTTCTTGATGTTGGGATTGTCGCGGCACCAAAGGCCCCTGCCAAACCCGAAGGTACGAAGTCAGTGTATGTCTCAATGGAGTGGGGATGGTACATTCGCTCGTGTCTCAGCTAAGCGAACGAAAGACTCTCTGCCCTTGTCTCGGATGCACAGGCAAGAGGCTTTCTTTCGCTTTACTAGCAGAACGCATCTACTTTGTACCCATGAGACTTACCAGAGAAGGTCTGCGGAGGAGCGTAAAGCGGGAAGTTCGGATTTGTGCGGCTCGTGGTCCCAGTTGCGCGTCGCGCCGTGGAGGGGGCTCAGTCGGAATTGTGCAGTGACGACTGCAGTTAACGTCAGCTTTGAAATGCAACATAAGGAGAGAGGAATGACGCATACCACCGCCAACATGGTTGATACAAGCTTTGTGATAGGCGCCCGTTTTCTGTAAATGGTGACCGTGTTAGCTTCCAGAGCGCACCGATGGAAACAAAACAGACTCACCGAGTATTCTTCTCCTTCTACTTTGTAAAGTTGGCGGACGAAGGGAATTCTGAGGTTCAAGTTGCTGTCGCCATGCCAAAGCTCATAGCATATGTTGTCCCCTCCATTGTGGTAAGGGACCTTCGGAAACCCCGAGAATTTTGGTTTCTTGTTCAGTCCCAACGCGTCGTAGGACGTATCGTAATTCCAGAACGCGTCACTGTAGTCGCACATGGCGTGATCATTGGCATCAACTTCTTTCCAACCCCACTTGGCCAGATCGCCTATTGCAAGTTGTGAACAAGTTAACCCCAGGTAGGAAACCAGGGAACTTACTCTGCTGGTCGCTCTGCCATTGACTCTGCATAGTGGGTGGGTTAGCCGCGGATTTGAAGATCTTGCCGGCTTCTTCGTCGGTGCTTCCGAAGGCGGCCACGAATTGCTCCCCCCTGCAGACTGCGTTGCCCCACAGCTCGTCGGTCGCAGTAGCGGATTTGTCCCAGCGGCGTGTCAGACCATACGGTGTGGGTGCGGTATCGTTCGCAGAAGGGACGAGTCGCCCGCTCCATGCGGCATTGACGAGGGTAACGGCGACCGCAAGAAGCGCGAATATCGACATTGCGGCGAGTAAGGGTGCGTTGTCAGTCGAGGTGTGCGTGGGCGGGTGGTGTTTTATCATGAGCCTACTCAACTTGGAAGGCACGGGCGTTTGCCGTGTCAACACTCGACTTAACTCTAGGCGAATATTTCACCGACGGCGTCTGTGGGACTTTGCATATGTTCGAAATATCGGCGAACTAGCTACAAGTCAATATCCTGAACGGTCCCTAGATTCAATCCCCCAAAAGAATCAGAGCACTGTTCCTTGTGCAGCGCCTCGCAAAGAGATTCGGTACCCTGTGTTGCCATATCATAGGCAATGCTGTTCCTGAGATGTGGGAATAATCCTGTGCTTTCGTGCTTAGCTTCTCCTCTAAGGTCAGGCCGTCAAGGCACAGGCTCGCGCTTAATGACGTGGGGAGAATCACTCAACCCACCAAAACGAGAAAAGTCCGTGAATGGGCGTTACGATTAAAGGTATGTTGATTGCTTGTGTCCCTAGCCCTCGTAAATCTTAGTGTCTGGTCGTAGATCTTACCAGACATAGCTACTTCATGCAGCTCTTCCCACGAGATTTGCACATTTCGAATCGTGGTATGCCTTCGATGTAATTAATCCCAAGCGCAAACATAGCTAAAAACGCCTGGCTCTTGCTGAAACACAAATCGCCCAGAACATGGTATCATTCTCTTCTCGTGTCCAACACTACTCTCATACTCAACAATCTTGTCGGTACCGAATCACTCTCCTTAGAGTCCAAGTGATCCTTCAAGTATTGATATGTTGATAGCAGTCCAAGCACCAAGGCTCCCCATCCTGTCCCAGTTCCACGATGCACTCTTTGCAGATAGCCTTTTGACATCCCAGACACTCCCTCGCGCATATGTAGCAGGTCCTTTCTGTGCATCGTTGACAGTCCATGTAACCCTCGAGGTCTCGTTTTCGTTTGGGCGCAGTGCTGCAGACGTGGCACGGGCTGAGGTCTGATTTCGTATGTGTGTCCGCCTTCTGGACGGGCGGTGAGCTTGGCCCCAGATCAGGTTCGGTGTCCATGATATGCGACAGCGTCTTGACAGGCAGACGCTTCATTTGCTTGACTGGTCGGCGTTCCGTGCTTGAAAACTTCGGTGACCTGGAAAACGTCCGATGCACGCTCGCTTCGTGGGGAGCGGGGTTGTGGCCATATAACCGGATGTGGCCTTCGCTTGTGGGCGATGTCCGTGAGGTACTGGAACCGAATCGGTCAACGTCTGTAGAAGACATGGAAATGTGTTTGGAGCTCGGCATGTCCGTGTCATCATCTGCCCGCCTCTTCCTCTTGCCAAGACCGGCTGTAACCTGCGAATCGAGCATGTGGTTGTGTGTGGGGGCGTGGGTTGACGTAGAGAAGACAGGCTGGGTGTATATATGATCGTGGCCGAACAAGCCGGGTGTAATGTAGACCATGGCGGGGAAACAACGGTGAAGTTGAGGCGGACGACGCTGCGACGGTGACAGCCCGATTTGGGAGGAGCGAAGGCGGCGAGAGCTCGGGCCTGAACGATCGGTGAGATGCAGAACGCTCAAATGTGCAGAACGCTATAAGCATAAACAACGCAGCAGAAAGCGGGAATGAGCGACACGTGCGGGCAGGCGGCCTCTGAGAGGATGTGGGGGGAGAGATGTTGTTGTCCTGGTGGGAGGACATGAACCTTGCTTCGAATAATTGTCTAGCTCGATAGATCCTAGCAAATGCAGGGTGGTGGGCCCTCACGTGTATCGCCAAGTGCCGCGGCGCGTCGGGGGTTTCTTCTCCGCAATCGTGTCGCAACCCACCAAGCAGTCTTGTGTATACATATACATTTCAACATATTTTGGAGGGTTTGTTTGTTTGGGCTGGGGAAGGCGCATTGGTTCATTTTGAGATACCCAGGAGCGCATATTTGTGCGAGAAAATACCAAGTTCATTACTTTCGTTCACATTAGGGGGGATAACACCAAGGCCATCGCTTTCATGGACAACCTCAATGTCTCCGAATTGGTCGAGCGACTTGGCAGCGATGAAGAGTCAGTGCGAAAGATGGCAGTGTTCAAGCTGCAGAATGCCATTGGCGACCCCTCCTTCGCCGACGTATTCATACAGGAAGGGGGGTTTGCCCAAGCTGAGATTCCTGGCTTTGCATGCAACCGGCAACACATTAGCGTACTGCCTCACATCTCTGTCGCGGCTGCTGGAGCTCGACAAAGGATGGGACCATGTCACAGACGATCTCACCAGGAGGGTCAGTACAAGGCAGGGCGACTGAGCAAGGCACATATGGTCTAACAGTAAATAGATAGTCGGACTCGTAGTCGCGCAACCACTCGTCAACGTCAATCGTGGCGCAATGTCAGTCCTCGCTGCCATCGTTGGCAACCCCTCGCACCGCAACTCACAGCCCGGCGTCACTGGCTTCCAACGTCTGAAGCCAGTCATCGAATCGCACAAGCAATTCTTGCCTTCGCTAGTCGAGAAGATGACCTCCGCCGACCATGCTCTATGCGCCAACTCTCTTCAACTCATAAATGCTCTCATGCGGGACACCATTGCGAACGAAGCGGACTCAGAATGGCCACGGTTCATAAAACAGCTTCAGGAGCTGGGCGTGATCAAGAGTGTGTATGGGTTGATGCAGAGCTCTGCAGTACAGGACTTGGCACACCCGCTGCTCGATTTTCAATCTCTGACCAAGATCCTCTTGCGGAGGTGGAGGGAAGAAAAGGTAGATCTGGAAAAGGCAGACCACCGGAGAGCTATACGAGGGCTACATGTGGCAAGCAACCCGGACCAGCCAGGAACAGATTCGAAAGGCAGTAAACGACAGAGCCCTGCCAAGTGGAGACGCCTCGGCTTTGAGAGTGAATCACCAGCGTTTGAATTCAATTCGACGGGATTTCTAGGCCTGATGGACCTCACCGATTTTGTTTACAAGAACGAAGATGGCTTCCAGAAGTTGTTGCTTGAGCAGTCGGCAGAGCCGCTCGACCAGCGTTGTCCAATTGCTCGCGCTAGCCTTGCGGTCACATCGACTTTATACGATCATTTTGAGGTAGATAAAGCAGATGAATCAGAATCCAACAGATACACGATTCAGGACTCACGAGCAAATTTCGAAAGAGCATTCAAGCCTTTGCTCTTGCATTGGTCGAGGCTACATACGAGCGGCCTGAATGCGTTCATTCGACTTTGGAAGGCCGCAGGAGCGCAATTAGAGGATTTCGACAAGATTGAAGAATTGGTGCGTATCTTGACTGAGCAGGTTGTGGGGCAAGCTCCTCGCACGAAAGAAATCAAGGATGTTGAGGAGGAGTTGGCCGAGTTTGACATCCAGCGCCTAAGGGAGCTCCAGATGGAGCTGCTCGAACTCACATATGAGGATGCTTGGGGCCATCACCTACGGTTGGTGCCTAACCATGAGCTGAAAATCCTTATGCTAACCTATGCATAGACAAGTTCGAGATGAGCTCAGTCACGAAGCGCTTCAATTTGTCAAAGAGCAGCGTATCAGGTGCCTGCTTCAGGGCGCCTGGTTCCCTCAAACGATGAACTACGGCACAGAAGCAGGACCGGTCACGAGCAAAACCCTCAGCCGAACTGTGCCCTCTTTATGGCGATTCGTTCGTCTTTCGCACAATCGGCGATATTTGCACTTTTCGGACTTCGAAGAGAAGTTGCCAACAGAGCCTAGGCTGGATGCCTTGCGAGACAAGAGTAGGCTCCCCGCCGCCCTGTGGAATAGTGTACGCGCTGTGGCTAACAGGCATCTAGTCGATCTTTCCATCGTGTCTTCGGTTGTCAGCAACGTGTCGGCGTCGGCCCCATCGACGGCGTCCTCTGACAGCACGCTCAAGGACGCTGCGCATGCGAACACGTCAACAAGAATCACCATCCATGGCTACTTGCCTGCGACGAGCCACTCGCGCCAGAAGTCGGACGCGTCGAAAAGCACGCAGAAAGAGTCGGTCCTTCTCCAGCTGCATCCGCAAAGCCACACGCTGGCGTCGGAGTGGCTAGATGGACTGCTGATGCTGCTCAACCAACAGCCGATTACGGCTGACACCAACAAACTCGTCAACCTCATCGGCGGCTATGGACTGAAAATCCGACTGCTCAATGTGCGATTCGAGGATGTGGGCATGGAGGAGCCGATCCTACCCAGCCGTGAGGGACTGGACGATGACTACTATTACGACATTGGCGGCATGGAGCCCGGGGTGTGAAACTACAACAACAATAAGTTTGTGTGCATGCATATGGGACGTGTGAGGGTCGCGTGCTTGTTGAGGACAACAACGTGGGATCTAGCGCAGTCAGCGTGGCCTGGAACTGGCTCAGGTACGGTCCGTGACGGTGCTACGCTTGGATCTGGCGCTATTTTGGTGGATGACCTTGGCATAGGTACAGGCTCTGGGTATCCGGGTCGGCAGGGGTCCGTCGCTTCTGAGCAGCAATCTATCGATGAGTGCGCATCCGAGTATTGTGATTCTATTTAGACACCCATGGTTTTACGGCAGCGTAACACCATATTCTCGCCATTTTGAATCAAGGCTTTGGTTTCCTATAAGGGCTAGAGGCCCGTAGCCCCGTCACTCAGCTCCGGCTGCACGACACTTGCACGGCATCTGCTGGCGAGGCTACACGGTGCGGGCAGCGATATTTTGCGCAGCTCGTGGCACACTCGGATGGGGCTCCTGGGCTAGCCTGTCGGTCAACAGGAGAGACTGGCGGTGCAGCATCTCAGACGGTGGCAGTTGTTGCGGACTGGCTAAAACGGCGACGGCGTGCGATATGGAATCCACCAATATCCCGGCGTCCATCACGCCTTAGGCTCGTGGGGAAAGCAAGTGGAGACTCTACGAGGCGTCAGCAAAGTGGGCCGCTCACCGTGTTTTGTTGTTCCTGAGCAACCCCCGGCCTGAAACAGCGGGCGGGATCAGAGCGGGGGCGCAAACCTGCGCAACCACGAAGCATGCTGCCATTGGTCCAGGTGCTGGGGCCTGAGAGCCGACCAGAGGTGAAGATATCCGCAGCATGCGCGAATAGCCTCGTGGCGATACTCGCGGGGCGTGTCCCATGCGCCAGGGATGCCCCAGGCACGGCGACGTAGAGGGCCTTGAGTGGGTGAACTGGACATGGCTAGTCATCGATACTGACGAACCGCCGGTGGAGACGAGGCGCTGGAATGCTCACTATGGCGGCGCAGTAGTCGTGGATGGCTGCATATGCTCTCTGCAGCCGCCAGCGCCGTGCTCCCTTGGTGAATTCGTTGCCCTTCAACCGATCTACGCGCCTCCAGGGCTCGACCTGACGTGGCTTGCTTCTTCTTATACTCAGGCTGTCCGTCACCAGGCGCTGATCGCGTTCACCACGACGACGACCGCTGCGGTTCACCGTCCCCACACCAACGTCTTCTACGATCCTAGTGCGATTCGATCGGATTACCTACGACATACCAACAAACGCTCGACCGTTGGTGCACAGGGCCAGGGTGCGGGTGCTTCGATAGCTTACCTTCATATACCTGCCTGAGAGCCCGCGACTTCGACCACGCCACGCCGCCTGCCTCCCGCATCCACGTCCCTCACCATGAAGAAGAAGGATAAGGTCGTTGCTCCGTGCTCGCATGCCGAGTTTGAGTCGTTGCCTGAACCACTGAGGTGCGTACCGCCATGCAACATTTGGCAATGCTGCTGCACCCGTGATTTGCTGGGCGAGTGTGATTGTGATAGGGGCGCATAAACCTCTTCATCTCCCACCCCACCGCGGGCCGGGTACCTGACAACTATGGACGCCATGATGCTGACCAGTGCGCCCACAGACGAAAGTACTTTAGCTCGCTCGAGCGTCTGCGCATTGCGGAGGAACATGCCCTGCACGAGCAGCAAGGGGAGCACAAGCATCAATATCAAGCGCGCCCGTGTCGCTCGAGGTCCACTGCCATCCACCGTTCGATACTTCCGCTAGCATCGTCACGTCGCCGACTCGCACGAGCCGAAAGCCTAAAACACGACCATTACGTCGCGCAGGCCGACGCCTCGTTCTTCTTGTCGCTGCCGCCAAAAGTCCAACGCAGTGCATTTTCTCGTGAGGAGCAGACGATTCTTGTCGGTCGCTGCGAGCTATCCACGACCGGCTCGCCCTTGCCTCCCTCCCGCCGGACCCACCTGCACCACGACGAGGAGCAACGCTTCGGCGACTTCCACTTTGGCTTCAACAACCACGACGACAACAACGGCGGCTCCGCTCTCCACCGTGGACGCACCCTCAGGCGCCGGTCCAGCGTGTCGTCGGCCGACATCTCCCCTACTCGCGCCTCACCCTACGGCCCCGGGCAAGAGCTGAACGCAGCCACGGAAAGCAGCCTGCTGTATCTCGACACAATGAGCCCTTTGGCCTCACAGCCCTCGCGGGCCAGCTTCAGGCGGACCCTGTCGCTCACCAACATTCCCCACCGCAGCTCGACGTCGTCTGCACCCCTCGCTCCGGAGTCCCTCTCCGCTCGTGGAACCGCGCCCTGGCATCAGCGGGCCCACTCGCAGTCAACCTCGGGCAGGCGCACCTCGCACACGCCCCAGGCCCCGGTATTCGACCCTGAGGCTACCCACTACCGGGATGCCGAGACACGCAAGAAGCTGCAGTTCCTCGCTTCCCCGCAGAAGTTTGACGAGGCCGTCGAGTTTGGATTCCCCTCCACCAGCGGAGACGACACTATGCCGCCTCGCTACCAGCTCCCTCCCATCAGCACCGATGCTCGCAACTTCAGCCGGGATATGCAGACCTTCCTCAAGGACGACCGCATGTCTTTCTTGGACGACAACGAGGAGGAGAACAAGGGCCTGGAGTCGGACGCTGAGTCTGTTGCGGATTTCGACTCGCCCGTCACGCCTTCCAGTGTGGGCCTTTCCTTCCGGTACCACTCTCGCAAGCAGTCGTCCAACTTCTCTTCATCCATCGACTCCAACGGCGTGCCTTTAATCCACCCGGTCACTGGCCGTCTAAACCGCGAGATGACGCTGCGGATGACACTCACTCGGCCAGACCTGCGGGCTGATGAGGAGCAGTTGTACGGCTGGCAAGGGCAGAAGACTACCACCACCAAGGAAGACCCCTTCGCCCTCGATGATCTTCCGCTGTCAGACGACGTGAACGGAACAAAGGGCCCGTTCTACGTCAAGCCGAAGTCCCACGGCAACCTCGTCAGCCGGCTCCTCAAGCGCACTAGCAAGAAGGGACGGTGAGCACCACGACATACCACTCTGCACGATTTATGAGCACCCATACAATGCATGCGTCACGACACGTATCATCCTCCCTGGATCAATATTTCCTTTCTAATACTCCTTTTTCAAAACTGCACTTGTTTAACGGTCGTCACAATTTCCTTCTGCTGAACTTTAGCGGGCGTTTTCCAGAGACGAACTCGTTTCCATGGCTAGCGCTCACACGCAGGCCCATTTCATTTCCTTTCAGTGTACAATATACCAATTAGCATGCATGCATGACCGAGACGAGATGAGTGGGATGAAACGAGAATACCGCAGGTGATAGTCTATGTGCTCGGAAGATTCCGGCGGCATAGCTATCGTTGCTATTGCGGGATATGGGTCGGGATCTTGGTGGATTCGAAGGATGGTAGATACCCCCAGTTGGAATTCAGGCTGGCAAAAGCGAAATGCGAAATGGTTTTGAGATGAAACACTTCTATTGCAGAGTGCTGTTGACTACGGATCGGGTGATGGTGTGAGCTTGTGGAGTACTGTAGCTGGCTGCTTGTTTCCACTTGCGCGTGCGAGGCCCCTGGAAATGAAATCTCTACACTCGCAAAGACAATCGCGCTGGAGCGTTCGCAAGCTTCATGTTCTGTTCTGTTCTGACCTGTTCTGTTCCGTGCCGCGATACCCCGTGGGAAGGGCCCTAGAAAATGTCCCGAAGCAACTCAATTACTCGCATGGGAGCGAGCGAGTGAGACGGTGGCTATCCGAGATTACCCCCCTACTCCCCACCGAGCATCACAGCACCGTATTCCAAGCTTACATTTGTCTTGCCCTTCTCTGCAGGTAGGTAGGTGCGAGTGTCGTAGCACAAAGAAAAAGAAATACTGTACTGTAGCCGTGGAGGCTGGAGTGGAGGGCAAGGAGGGCGCAAAGCAAATCCAATGCAATCCAATCCAATGTAATGTCTTCCTGCGTGTTCTCCTGCGTAAGCGCATGGCATGGCATCGCATGATTGTGATGCACCGAAGGGGAGCGTCGTCCCGGGCGGTATTGCAGATACGACGTATAATCGCAGGGGTGTGCGCAACGTGATGGCTAGCATTGGAACGTGGCAGGCATGCCTGCCGGGTATGGTACTGTAGTTTATTTTACACGCGCATGTCGTTCATACGTACATTAGGTATGTGAACGTGGTGCGGCTGCGGTGCGGCTGCGAGAGTAGGGTAGGCGTGGCTGGCAGGCTGGCTGGTGGTATCTGATCTGCTTTCAGGGACACTACAGTACATGCAGGACGGAGGGGCGTGCTTCGTGCCGCTCTTTCCTTTCGTTTCGTTTCTTTCTCTTTTTCCTTTCCTCCGTTCCTCCCTCCTTTCCTTTCGTTCTATCTCCCTCTCCACCCGAGATCTGTATCGCAGCGTCAGCAACCCACGACCGCTCTACTACTCCACATGCATCGCCATCCCTTCGGCCCTTTGTCCCCATCCATTCACCTTTCTAAAGGAGCCACTTCCAGCTCGGTGTTTCGACATCAGCACCCCGGCGGTGTGTTTGGCTAGCGCACCTATGGCAAGTTAGCGCCTATGCGCGACACTTCGGTAGGTTTGCGCTAAGCGTTTGGGGGCGGGTGTGCCTGCGTTAGCAGGGGTGCTTGGGACGGGTTCGTGAAGTGCCGGGAGGATGTGTTTTGAGTATGTAGTGTAGGGGTGGGGCGTGCATGTGTTTGTGGGAGGTGAGTCAGTGGGTGCAGTAGAAGATGTGTAGGTTGTGCAGTGCAGTGCAGTGCAGTTGGGACGAGGAGTATGGCTGGGCGGGTGAGTCGGGGAGTATGGCATGTTTGAGGGGAAGTGCGTTAGAGAACGGAGCGGCTAGCAAGAGAGAGTGCTTGAAGCATTGGCGGGGTTCACGAGCACTCTCCGGGTATGGTGCTGCGTACGAGTCGTGGGAATACCTCGTGATGGTAGTTGCTCCCGCCTGGCAGGGCATCCAGACTAGACGTTGTTAATGAGAGCAGCAGAGCGCAGTATGTTCACGGGCAGGATCTCGTTGAAACCTTGGTTGTTGCTGCTTGACAGCTCGGGAAAAGATGTTTCTGGCTTTGAAGCCCGCATATCCACATGAATTGATTTCTTATGTGGAAATACATAAGCGCATGCTGAGTGATGTGCTGAAACTAAATGGAGGGGTGAGGGAAACAGGAAGATAATCAGAGGTACTCTGTCGTCGTCGCTGGAAAAGCCTCCCAGGCGTAATGTAAACGTTTGAAGACGCTGTCAACATGAGTCTCCCCGATCGTCTGGAGGTTCCTCGGCAAAACGATTCGAATCAAGAAAGCGATAAGTATCCGTCATGGTCGTCGCATTGCTCTCGTGGTATTTTCACTATCGCAGCGCTAGTCTAACATACCCCCTACGGACGCGCGTCTACTTCTACCTGGACAGGGCAATATCGTCGATTCGCAGTATCATCTTGACTGTCTCAGCGGCCAGCTCGATGGCGCTCGTGCTCACGAGCAGTGGCTGCAGCACATTTTCCTCCGCGATATCGTTCTTCACACCACCGCTCTTGATACTGACACCGGCGTTCCGCTGATCCTGTGCGTGACGATGCCTCAGCTCCGTCACAACCTTGATGCTGTTCAACCCCGCGTTTTCTGCTAGGGTCGTAGGGATGACCTCCATGGCGTCTGCGAAAGCTTTCCAGCAGATAGCCTCGGTACCCGTAAGCTCACGCGCCTTGATAGAAAGTCGGTGTGCAATCTCTGTTTCAGGTGCGCCGCCACCTGCAAGGAGGGCCTTCTTCTTCACTAGCGAGCGGATGGCGCAATGTGCGTCGTGCAACGAGCGCTCGGTTTCATCGAGAATCAATGAGTTTGCGCCTCGGCAGACTATGGAGACGGTGGAAGAGGCGGCCTTCACGCCTGATACCTTTACATATCTTGCGCCTGATGACTGGACCTCCTCGATAAGATCGGCGGAGCCAAGCTTGTCCTCTGTGAATGAATCGATGTCAGCAATGGGCTTGCAACCAGTGCTCTGTAACCAGTCAGTGAAAACCTTTGTGGCTGCGGCGCCGTCCTTACCTTGCAGATGAACTCAATTTCATCGCGCTCGATGTCTTTGACGACGAGAATCTTGAGTTTTGACAAGAAGTGCAGACTGAGGTCGTTTACTGCGTCGCGTAGGATAGACTTCTGGATGAACAGCACGTTGCACTTCGCCTTTTGGATTTTCTTGACCATGTTGAGCAGATACGTCCGCTCCTCCTTTAGGATCTTGTCCATTTGCCTGTAATCGTTGACGACAATCTGGTTCTCCATGTCTGGCTTGGGGGGGCTGAGCTGGAACTGTATCAGGCCAATTCGCGCCTTCTCTTTCATGGTCGGGCCTCCCGCGCTCTTGACTACAGGCTGATGTAGCACCAGACCGTCGGTCATCTCGCTGTCCTCGATGGTTCCACCTGGCTTCTTGATTATCCGGATATTCTTCAGATCCACGTTATCGGCGGTCTTGGGGTCGATGACCTTCAAGACAGAGTCCACAGCCATGGCGGGCAGCTTGGGCTCCTGTGCTACAATCTTGGACGAAAGTGCGGTCGTTGCGGTCTTCAGCAGGGTTGGTCGGTCGGCCAGTGAGATCGGTATCGACATGCCGGTGAGGATCTCGATCGAATGTGCGGCGGCGCGCTGGAAGGCCTCTGAGATAACGGTAGGGTGGATGCCCTTGGACAATAACCGCTCGGCAGCACCCAAGAGACTGCCTGCTAGGACAACGACTGATGTAGTACCATCTCCGGCTTCGATATCCTGGGCGTGTGCGAGGTCGACGAGCATTTTTGCGGAGGGATGCATAACGCTCATCTGCTTCAGCATGGTCGCTCCGTCATTGGTAATGATGGTTTCGCCTTTGCCGGTTTGAATCTGAGCTGAGTTAGCAGTGTCCTAGCTCATTGTATGCTTGTTCCATACCATCTTGTCCATTCCTTTGGGCCCAAGAGACTACACCATGGTCAGTACATTGATCACCCCGCCCCCTCCATAGCTCCACATACAGTTCGGATTGCGTCGGACACAGCTGTGATGATATGTCAGCTTGAGCTCTGAGCTTAGATCTGAATTCGTTCGTACCTCTCGCGGCGACGATGTTGGCTATGCGCACAGCTCTGGGCTTCTCCTTGTCCTGTCATAGCTGTCAATCAATGTTTTCACAGCTCACAACAGCGTCTATACCCTGAACGCAGCATTTCCGCCGCCGCCACCTGAAGATATCGGTGCTGCCATTTTGTGTGAATGTGTAAAAACAATATACGAAAAAAGGGTATCGGGTGTGGTGTCTCGAAGAGCTGCTGCCTCGTGCGTGTTGGGTTCAACGCGATAAATTCAAAGGCGCGCGGCGGGGGAACTTCGGCAGGCGCGACTGAAGCGCCGATTCGCCGACAGCCTGACAGCTACCTTCACTGATTACAACACCGTCACTCGCCATCCATATCCCAAACACCAGCCACCCACGCACCCATCCGCACACGCTCGCTGCTGTCGGACCCGTACCGACTATTTCCCGCCTATTCTCGCGCACCTCCACCGCTATCGAGGCCGACTACGCACATTGCCTCTGAAGCGCAAACATGCCCTCCGCCACGGGCTCCAACTGGGAGAAGTACCAGAAGAACTTCGCCGATGACGAGGTTGAGGAGAAGAAGATCACACCTCTGACCGATGAGTAAGGCATACCCGTGGGCACGGCGCGATCAGGATGCTAAATGAGGGACAGGGACATTCAAGTCCTGAAGACGTACGGTGCGGCACCGTATGGCGCAGAGCTCAAGAAGCTTGAGAAGGAAATCAAGGACAAGCAGCAAATCATAAACGAGAAGATTGGTGAGTTCCATCAAAGTCCATTTCAAGCTGTTGACCCCACTAACATTACCCAGGTGTCAAGGTACTTTCTACGCAACCCTATCGCGAGCCGACGCAGCGTCTAACTGTTGTCTAGGAATCGGATACCGGTCTTGCACCTCCACATCTATGGGACATCGCCGCCGACCGACAACGTATGCAAGAAGAACAGCCCCTCCAGGTCGCCCGATGCACAAAAATAATACAAGATGAGAAGGACCCGGAGAAGAGCAAATATGTCATCAACGTGAAGCAAATCGCCAAGTTCGTTGTCAACCTCGGCGAGCGGGTATCACCGACGGATATCGAGGAGGGCATGCGTGTCGGTGTCGATAGGAACAAGTACCAGATCCTCCTCCCGCTACCGCCAAAGATCGACCCCTCGGTGACTATGATGACGGTCGAAGACAAGCCCGATGTCACGTACGGCGATGTCGGTGGCTGCAAAGAGCAGATCGAAAAGTTGCGAGAAGTTGTCGAGATGCCCCTCCTCTCTCCCGAGCGATTCGTGAACCTTGGTATCGACCCTCCCAAAGGTGCCCTTCTCTACGGTCCTCCAGGTACCGGCAAGACGCTCTGCGCTCGAGCTGTCGCGAATCGGACAGACGCTACTTTCATAAGAGTTATTGGCTCCGAGCTAGTACAGAAGTACGTGGGTGAGGGTGCACGAATGGTGCGTGAGCTCTTCGAAATGGCGCGGACAAAGAAGGCGTGCATCATCTTCTTTGACGAAATCGATGCAGTAGGAGGTGCACGTTTCGACGACGGCGCAGGGGGTGACAATGAAGTCCAGCGAACCATGTTGGAGCTCATTACCCAGCTCGACGGCTTTGACTCGCGCGGAAACATCAAGGTCATGTTCGCTACCAACAGGCCATCCACACTCGACCCCGCACTCATGCGTCCCGGTCGTATCGATCGAAAGATCGAGTTCTCGCTGCCGGATATGGAGGGGCGTGCCAACATCTTGCGTATCCATGCTAAGAGCATGAGTGTGGAGCGCGACATCCGTTGGGAGCTCATCTCGCGATTATGCCCGAACAGCACGGGTGCTGAGCTGAGGAGTGTAGCGACCGAGGCGGGTATGTTTGCTATTCGTGCGAGGAGGAAGGTAGCGACCGAGAAGGACTTCCTGGCTGCCGTGGACAAGGTCATCAAGGGCAACTTGAAGTTCAACTCCACGGCCACTTACATGCAGTACAACTAGACGAGTAGGGGCATGCAGTTGATGAAGGAGATGGATGTATTCTGGGATGGATGTGATGTCGCGCCTGTACGAGTACTTCAGGGAAGACATAGATATAGTATGCTGTGCGTAATGCAAGTAGTCTGATATCAATCCAGATTCGAACATCTCGCTGTACGATTACGTGGACAACTTCAGACGTGGAGGCCTTGTGCAGTCAAGTGGCGCTGTTATGTTCGATAAGTAAAGTGGTTTCAGACTCCGGGGGTGATCAGTTACAGCTGGTATAGGGAGTCACCTATATGAGCTTCACATTTTGCTTGAGTCAGTCAGAACTACATCTCTTATCGCTGCTGAGGAGTGATCGTATACTCTGAACATCTGAGTCGATAATTCATTCGAGTCAACTTCTGAGCCAACGAGGGTATCTTATTGCGTATCACTTTTTTAAGTTAAGCATGTTGTGTCTGTGGTCACAAGTTCGGGGGCCGGGGGTTCAAGGGCACACTGAGGGTTATGCTCACAGGCTCTCATCAGGCCGTGTGGTTGGTGAGGGCAATGTGCTGGGGAATCGCATACGATGAATTACAGGAAAGGCATGGTTGGGCGGATAGAGGAGAACATTCATGGGATGCGGTTCAAGGGGATAATTCATAAGATGCGGTGTAAGACAAGGATACATGCGATACGGTGGGAGGATAGAGATCGCGGCATGCGGGTTAAGAAGACCGTTATCAGTTGCAGTGTAAAAAAGGTGTGTATGAGTTGCGGTGTGACGCTTATGGCGTCGATACGCTAGTGTAGGAGGAAGGAAATTGTGATCCAATCGACAAAGATCTCGGCTACAGCTTTACTTGTGGCGGTCTCAAATTCTATTCTGAGCTGATTGGGTCGTGGGATGTCTACATGTGGGGGTTTGGGGATCTTGCTAGGTTTTAATCTTTTAGGCGTTCTACCGGAGTCCTGTGCAAATGAACACAAGTTCTCATCCGCATGATATTTGGGGTGTTTCCTGCAGCCCAAAAGTCCTCATTACTTTAAGGGGGATATACAGAACATACAATTCAGAAGATAGTATTAGCCAACAGCACGCTTCTGCGCTTCCGCGAACAGATTATTCAGAAGCTCACCTAAGTATAGCTGCTCCGCGACTCTTATGCTTGTTCTCAATAGTTTTCTTGCTATCAACGAACTTTGTCTCCGTCTAGGCACGTCTGAAATGTGGTGCGTGAACATCAGGCACTGTCGTGGAAATGTTTGGGGACCGGTGTAGGGATTGACGGAAGTGGAAACGCCACCGAGCTGTACCCAGCAAGTCTCATAAGCATGGTCGTCGCTTTTCCCTCCCAGTTACTGCACCTCCTTGTGTAACGACCCGACGCTACGTCAATGGTCCGGTCGATATCGATCTGATACGTCAAATTTGTTGCTGTCGCTCTGGCTGCACTCGGAGATGGCGGCCTCGGCTACGCATCGCCCCCATTGCCGTTTCCTTCTCTTCACCCGGGCCAAGCAAGCGGGGATCGCATTCCGAAAAAGCAAGTAGAAATGCATCCAAGCAACGACGAACGTCTTATTGCGGTCTTTTCCTTCGTGTGTTGAGGCTCCATAGCTGCTCAGCAAGCCCTTGTGGCACCGCCTCCGTTCAGCGCTAGACATCTGTCTTATGCATGCAGATCGAGCCCTACCGTCCGCCTTCTGTACCGCCTGTCTGTTCAACCGTTGCCCTACCACGTGGCGTGTCGAGTCCTCAGTGGATGTCCCCAAGCGCTCGCTGCGTTTGTGGGTTTTCGAGTGTATCGGGATACCGCATCCATTGGTTCTGTACGGTGGCGCCTTCACCGGACACCAGCGCACGAGTCCTGTTCTGCAGTGCATCTGGGACGATCCGCACGCCCCATCCTCACTACCGGCGAGCAGGAGTCGTCGTCGTCGCCATACAACCGCCGTTGCTGCGCTGGCACCACAACGAGGATGTCTACATCCACCTATGCTCATGACAGATGGGCAGTCGGAGAAGCTAGATGGCGTACCGCCCCGTCTGTCTGAGCTGCGCCCGCACAGGACAACGGTCTACACTGTGATTGCGCGAGTTCGCAGGGAGGTAGACCACAACGGGTAATAAGTTGCTGGAAATGCAGCGAGGAAATGCAAGTGGCGCTCACAAAGTCCTATGATTATGCCTCGTCGTGGAACGGGACGGTAAGCGTTGATTCGGATATTGCGTCGTGATGCGGCGACCAGTCACAGCGAGAGTCGTGTATGTCCTTGATCCACGCCATAGGTGTATATGGATGAGGCACATCCGACTAACGAAAAGATCCTCCGGTTTCGACGTCTTCTCTTATGCAACTTTCCCACAGGAGGAAAACCCCGGCTCTTCGCTCGTAGTTCCGAACAACTTATACATGCGTGCTGTCCAACTTGGTTTGAACGATGCCGGTATCAGCGTCGCATTATAGTTTCAGTAATCCCGTACGTCTGTTTTCGAATTACCCTCGCGCATGCTCTTGAAGGGTTCTTTATCTGTTGGTAAACTCGATCTGACTAGATCCTTAGGGTAGCTCGCATCATATAGACGGACCGCCAGTGCCAACACCATCCCGGACGGGGCATGGGCTGTCAAACATGCAAGTACACACAACAAGCGCAGGCCTTCCATATCGATCGGGTGCTGCTTCGGGTCATGCTCATCCTGTACGACCAACGTCAGTGGATGGCCAGTCGATCGAACATTCTCGGGACACGACTCAACCCACGCGGCCACACGTGCGCAGTCAACACGGCTCTTCTGACCAATATTACGACCCTTCAGCAACAACTTGGGTTGCTATGCCGGTCCCTGGACAGCCTGGTTTGTACCGTTGGATTGCTACAAGCAACTCTTCACCGTTATCATATCCTGTCCCTGGCACAAATTCCGAACACAATCCGTTGCCAACATTGACAGCCTTGACGCCTGCTTCAGCGAACAATAGATCCTATTCATCCAGTCAGAGAGGCACACCTCCAACGATCACACCCAACCTGGACACTTACTTGTATGTATCATGGCTCATGTCGCACTTGTACCAGATCCTGAGAAGCATTAGCAACCCCGAACTAGATAGCTATCCAGCTCAACAAACCTTTGAGCAGTTGAACCCCATACCGATACGACCCAGAGACGAGGTAGTCTATCCATACGCAGCTCCAGGAATCAACACCCAAGGGCCAAACGACCGCATCGAAGACGAAAGGTATCACACCCTCAATGTCCTTGCTGTGCATAGTCGCTGACGCATCTCAGGGAAGTCCCACAAGCGCAGTGTGATATATGCGGAACCTCTTTCAATGGTGAATACGCGCGCGGCAATCTTCAACGCCACCTCCAATCCAAACACTCGGGCACCAGATATCCTTGCGAGGGCGGGTCTTGTGGTAAGGCGTTCGGTCGGAGGGACTACAGACTCAATCATCACAGGAAGGATCATCCTGAGATGAATGTACCACCTCCGGCGTCTCGCAAGCCTTGAAGGATCTACGCTAGTGCTCATGTCAAGTACTCTCGAGGGCGCGTTCGGAAGGAAAGCGCGAAAAGTTCGAGTAGATTTGAGGCCAGTAGAGATCAAATGGGAGACATCGGTCGGTCGTATTCGGGAATGTGTACTATGTACTTTTGGCGTTGATACTGTACTGGGTCTGCTTGTTCGTCTGTTCAATCAGTTTGTTTAGACAGGGCGCTCTCACAAGTCCCGAAGCTGTTCAATGTAATGTTCGTCGTCACTTTAATGCCAGGTATTTGCGGCTGTCCTCTGCACTCGAGCCCGCTGTGATGCAGTCGTTCTCTCGCATCGTCTACGCTTCTGACGTCGAAACAAGGTTTGCGTATGACGCAGCGCCGTCGTTCCAATGGAGCGGAGCGTTACCCGCGAACGGTAAGTAACTTCCTCAGCGCATACGGGCTGTTGGGCTCCATTAGCTACCCGGTTGCTATTGAGGCACAGACCTGACTCGCGTAGTGCCTCAATTCTGGGGTTCTCTCAGACCCCCAGAGAGAAGTTAAGCGGCCCAGCAATGCGTTCTGTCCTCTACAGGTATGCTTTAAAATCCCTGGTTCGTCCTTGTTCCGACTTTACTGGAGCTGACATTGCCCAAGAAGGTCACGAGCGAGAACAAAGTCCTCCGGTGGCACACCTTTCTACTGCTCAAGAACGCAGATGCTGCCCAAAGCTGTTCGTTCGGCCCACAAATTCGTTGCTTTATGCGGCTATGCCTGGTTACGTGGGATCGACCAACCACAACCCTCCACGATGTATCCCTCGCATCGGGTTAGGCAATTGAAGTAGTGCGAACGAATCATGTCCACGAGTAAGCGTGGGACAGCGTGATATTAGCATTAGAGATAAAAGGATTTACGAGGAATGGGTAGACGAGGTCGAGGCGGTGAAGACGACGCTAAGCAGCAGCATACGGTCAATGCGCAGAACTATTTGGTGAATGGTCGACGCAGAGGGCCGTTCCGTGGGTGCATACACGTGGTATTGATGCCGGTCCAATTTCGGATGCACAGGATAACATCCGCAAGCGCTATTCGCACGATTAATTACCGAATCGAAGCATCGCCAAGTTAGGCAAGTGTCCTCCATCCTTGAAGACGAAGAAAGGGAGCAGGTTATGGATGAAGCCCGGAAGGATCATGACTGTGATTGCAAGAACGGATCATCTTAGAACTCTCATGAGTCGCCCTGCAGAGAGTAAACCGAGATCCTGTAGACTGCGCCGTGTGCACATTGGAAGTGCCGGCTTAAAACTACAGTTCCTACGATAATTGTTCTGAACCTGGAAGAGCTCCGCTACGTATTGAGCTTCGGAACGCTAGTATATAAGAAGACGTAGATAAAGAGCGCGATGGTAAGGATTGTACGAGCCATATCACAGGCATATCTCTTGAAAGGTGCCTCTGAAGCAGGCGTAGCACATGAGTGCCCAGAAAGTAGATGAAAGCCAATCAGAGATAGAGGAGAATTCTCCGAACGCTA